ATTTTATTTTTCTTGAGGGATTATTATCAGGCACGTGGAGTAAGGAAACTTGCCCAAGGTTTTGCTCTGCCCAGTAATCAAACCCAGGTCTCTTGCTTGGGATTTCTGGGCAAGATTGCAATTAATGAGCTATATGTTGTGGACTTGCAGTCCAAGAACTAGTTTTAGAATTGCTTGCCAGTCAATTACAATAACAAATTACATTTGTGTAGTGCCGTTCACATTGGGTGGACATCCCAATACTCTGGAATCTAGTGACACAGTCCTCTGAGGTAAAAGAATGGTGTATTCAGGCACCTCAACTCTTCCACCATTTGTTTCCACTCACTGCAGAATATGTTCTGCCGGCCTTGGCATTACTTCAGAATGCTCTGTCCAGTAAAATATGTTACTTCTGCCTTGTTAAAAATCCAGCATCGGCATCTGGTCTAAGCTGCAGCTTGTTCTGAACTTATGAGCTTGGCAAAACGTACAACAGTGGGTTGTGTGTTTTAATCCAATGTGTGAGAACAGGCCAGTTCCTTCTTCAACATGATAGTGTTCTAAACTATTTTGGTGCTTCAATAGTTTTAATATTTGACAAATTTCACAATTGTGCCTAATATAGTAATGTTTGCAATTGTTGTGCTGTGAAACATACTTCTAATCTCATTAAACTGATAACTTCCAACAACCAACTAGTTGCAGGCTGTTTTGACAGAATCAAAGGGAATTAAGTATATATTGAATGGTAGTGACTTGCAAGCAGCAGAAGAGAAAGGGACTTGGGAGTGAAGGAACATGCCCTTAGGTTCGTGAATAAAGTTATGGTAATCTGAATTTTATACATGGGGCATATCGTACAAAGGTAGTAATGCTAACTATGTCTAAATAATTGGGACAGGGAAGGTTGAGAGAGGACCTGACAGATGTGTACAATTTTTTGGTAAAGATAAATAAGGTGAAGTTATTTCTGCTGGTTGGGGAGTCAGTGAGTAGAGGTCATAGATATGATAGTCACATAAAGAGCAAAAGGAGAGTTTAAGAGAATTGTTTTTCACAGTTATTGAGACGTGGAATCCTCTGCCAATTAAAGTGGTAGGAGTAGAGTCCATTGTGGGTTTCAAGAGGGAAGTACTGTACAATTTAGCACCTTTCATGTCGGCAAGATTTCTCAAGGTGCTTGATGCTGGATGGGCACCCATGATGGCGAGGGAATCAAGGGCAGGGGGAGGGGAAAGATGATCAAACGTGTGGTCCAGAAGATGTTCTGAAATGTGCCTTGGATGATGGGAGGGAGTAAGTCGGACAGACTCCAGTATGGGGTTCCAGAGAATAGGGCAAAATGGCTGAAAGCCTACCTGTCTACCATGGGGCATATAGTCCAGGGGACATGAAGCAGGTCAGTGAAATTGAGTGAACAGAGCTCCTGGATCGATGTAGTTGAAGGAGATTGCACAGGTCACTGAGGGTTTTGTGTCCCTATCTTGACCTGGGAGAACAGGCATTATGAAAGATGTTTAAAGAAAACCGTCTTCTTTGATTTCTTGTTTGGTTACAGCTGATTCTGACCATGTTGCTCTCACATCACAGCTACTATGAATGTGTGATTGAAGTGAGCTTTTTCCAGTAGAAGCGAGATGCAATAACATTGGTATACGTTGCTGTCCCTTATGTCCAGTCTCCCAATTACCAAACGGATCGACTTCAAGATCCTCTCACTCAATTTCAAATCCCTTCATGCACACGCACCTCCCTACCTATCCAATTCGCTCCACCACCTACCGGCTCCGCCCTCCTGTTCATCCTTCGCACCCTCTGCTCCACCACCCCAGTCCCTTCGCCTTGCCCCCTCCTCATTTTCAAATCCCGCCTAAAGACCTTCCTTTTTGATCGTCGCCTCCCCCCCTCCCTCTGCCCCTTGCTCAGGGTCAGACTCCGCACTGTCAAGCACTCCAGGACTCTACCCCGCATGAAGGGAGCTATACGAATGAAGTCGTTGTATATTTTTAAAAATGCAAGTTGTTCTCCTTGCTGGAAAATTCCTGAGTAACCTCATGTTTTTGCAAGTTTACAACAAATTCCATTTCTATTGCCTCTTCCACATTGGGAGTACTTCCCAAGGTACCGGACAGTCAAGGATATGTAGCCGAGATGGGGAGGTTGGAATCGGGAGCGAGGGTGGTCTTAGGAGGGTGACCGAACGCGCGGTCAAAGTGAAAGGTCTTGAGATGGGTCTTGAAGGAGGCAAGGGAGGTAGGCAAGGCAAAGGGAAGAAAGGCTGAAGACCCGACTGCCGATGATGAGGCGGTCAGGGTGGGAGCATGGAGCAGGCCAGAGTCCACTGAGCAGACAGGTCAGTATTGGATTAGCAAGTCAGAGAGGTAGGGAGGAGCCAGGCCCTCCCTTTGGAGGGCTTTCAAAGCGAGAATGGGGATTTTGAACTATCCTTTGGGGGGATGGGAAGCCAGTGGAGCCGGGCGAGGAAGGCGCTAATAGGTTCACAGAGATTGGTGCAGGAGAAGACAATGTAGAAAATTTTAATGGACTAACCTACTTCCCAATTCATTTTAGTAGATTCATAAGGAGCTGTAGGATATGAATTAGGACATACTCTTGGGCCATAGTTCACATTCCATGGCTATCATGTATTCTGTTAACACATGCAAAGTAATTAGAATACATTATTTGTAAATTTTAAATGGAAATTGAGAATTGGTTCTGATTAAAAATTGATGTGAGAAGTAATGACTATTTGTGATATTAATCTCAAACATGAAAAATACTTTGATTAGTAAGTGTGGAATAAATTAGAATTTCTGATTGAAGCACAATGTCTGCCTTCTCCTGTGGTTTAGTTTTTAATTCTGCACTAAATGTATTATATGGCTATTTTCAGGCAGCAATATGTTTCAAATTCAGTGTTTTTTTGCTTGATTTTTATTAATCTGGTATGCATCCCACTATGTTCAACAATATCAGGTAGGAATTAACAAATGACTAGGCCACAAATCTTTGGAAAGAGAATGAACTAGCACAAGTGTAGCATATTTTACACAGGATGCTGGAGAACAAAAAAAAGTAACTAATAAAGTGGAATGGAGAGAATTTGGGGATGCAGAGACCTTTAAAGGTGGCCATTTACAACAATGAAGTTTTTATATAGAGCCCTTCACATCGCTTAGTGCTCTTCGTGTACGTCACAGAAAGCTTCTATGGCTCATTTTGTCCTGTTCTGTTATTATAATAATAATAATCCTTGCATTTGATATAGCGCTTTTCAAGTCTTCTAGACATCCCAAAGCGCTTCACAGAATATACTGTAAAGTGAATTGACTTAGCAGATAAATGATCCCTGGGGCTGTTCTTGGAACCTATGAACAGCATTGAACTAATAGTAGAAATTGCTGATTATGACCACCATGTTCTTCACTTCTGCTGTTTTGATGTGGGGTTTGCACCCACAACCTTCTGCCTTATCGTGACGAGATTTCTTCCAGCTGAGCCAGGCTGATTGGCTGTTAGCTTGTTAATATGATTGCCCTTTAATGGTGTGAGAGAGAGGTATTTGCTGCCACTGAAAATCATGCAGTGTAAAAATTATTCTTGTTTCCGAGTCTTGATATCCTCTCTTGCGTACCAACCTGAAGGATACATTTGAAATTGCAATCTGATAAACATTGTGCTGCACAGGCATGATACTGGATAGCTGTTGGTGAGTTATAATATAGTAATCCAGTTGCTGGGTTTGTGATGTCATTAAATCACAAGTGAAATTCAAGCAGTTTATATTGGTAATTGGGCTTGGTGTCAGGTTTGGCAAAGGAAAGTCATAATCGAGCCAACCCACTGGAACCAACAGAACTCCAGGGACAGCTGATGACAGCACAGCCAGCCTGGCTCATCGGCAGGCCTTGGAAGAGCCAACCATTCACTGGAAGCAGGGAATCATCCTACTCAGCTCCTGTTAGCCCTCCAAGCCAAAGCCATAACAGGTAGGGTGGTCCTAACTGGACCAGCGGCAGGAAAGTTTCCCAGACAGTAATATTAATAGCACCTATGTGGTTTTATCTGGTTAGACTCCAGCAGTACACTAACCCATATTCTGGGGTCCTCAAGCCTTGGCTCTTGCCAACCTGAGTCGATACTTTCCAGAATTGGGTCAGCAACGTCCCTCCAGAGAGAGTGCATATTCCATTCCAACAATCTATCTCTGGAATTTCCATGTGTAGGTGGGATGCATGGAACTCTGTTTGGTTTGGAAATGGTGACAGGTTTCCGTATGGGTCAGACATCCAGCTGACCCCAAAATTTGGATAATTTTACCACTGATTGGAATGTTGGTTAAAATCCACTGACTGGCTTTTTATGCGCGTGGTGACTTTTCAATATACAGTAATTGGCATTGGACTAAGCCAGGCAAGCTGAAAGGTTACAAGATTGATTCCTTGAGCCAGGGCAGGAACAACTTGTGCTTGTATTAACAAGTTGTCTTTCAATAAACTATCAAAGGGGAAAATAAGTTGGGTTTTCTGCTCCACATTGATCCCTCCTGGAATGTGCATATGCGGAAGTTGGTTGAAGACGAGGTTCAGTTTTGCTTTGATGGTCCTGGTCATTTTTAGATCCTAGTCCTGGCCTTCAAATCTGTCCAAGCTCTCATCTTGCCCTACCTGAGCTATCTTCTCCAGCCTATAACTCTGCTCTTCAAATTTGCTTCATGGTTTGCTTTTTACTCCCATTGCTCTATTTGTGGCTGAGCATTGCGCAGGAAGTCGTGTAGTAGAACTACATAGCGTTTATGTGTAGCGAGCAGGAAGAAGGAACATCCATGGCAACCTTAAACCTGAAAGTCAGCAATATCTTTTGTTGAAAATCATAAATATGTAAAAATAACTGGGAATTTGTTTTCCTCGGTTTGGAAAAAATTGGGAAAACATATACCATTTTTTACAAATCAAAACTGAAAGCCGGAAAGACTGCTTACTGTTAATTCTGAAACTATATATTTTAAATATCAGGGACTCGTCAGCAAAGTTACAGACACTGTGAAGAATATAGTACCTGGCTGGCTGCAGAAGTACTTTGGACATGCAAATAAACCCGGAGAAACAAGGAATGATGAACCAGCGGAATTGATAGATGATCGTGATAACCAAATTCCTGTAAATGAGACCCCGCAATACAGTGATGGACGGAATAGCCCAATTCCAACAACAAGTGATTTAAGAGGTAAGTGTTCATTTATCTAAGTAAAAATCAGATTTACAAAAGTTGAGTTCAGTGAAATAAAATATGTAAAATGATCCATAACGAACAGTAACTTTGACAAAATGTACAAATGCTGGAATAATAAATTATTAGTGATTTGTACCACTCGGGGTTCAAACTTTGATTATACTTTGTAAAACAGTCATTGTTATAACATCTGGTTTTTATTATTGGTTAGCACCTCAAAGTGCTTTTACAGATAATGAATAGAACCCAAGCAAGAAGGGGTGAGAGGTTTTTTTAGAAAGGCTTTCAAAGCAGGGGGAAAGGTTGTTAAAGTCGGTGATCTGGAAGGGTTCTGAAGAGTGGGGTTAAAGTGATTGGAAGCTCGGTGGCCAAAAAATGAGTGGAGGTCGATATGCAGCAGACCTGAGTTTGCAGAGGTAATGGAAGGGGCTTGGATCATAGAATAAGCATGGGACAAGGATCTTAAAATCAGTTAGTTGGAAAATAGAGAACTATTGGAATCTGGTGAGGGTGGAGTTGATCATGGAACCAAGTGCGAGAGAGGTTAGACTGAGAGACCAACAAGTAGAACATTAGAGAAATCAAATCTGGAGATGACAAAGATGTGAATGGAAGTTTGGATAGAACTGGGGTTGAGATAAGATCCAGGAAGGAGGTTTGGAAATGGAGAAAAGCAGTCTTGGTCAAACAGAGGAGAAGGAGGCAGAATGATTACAGACTCCGCGGATGTCATTGGTCCGGACAGAAACTAGATCAGTGCGTCTTGAATAACAACAAAATGATATTTATAGAGCGCATTTCACATCGGGAGGACGTCCCAAGGTGCTGGACAGTCAAGGATCAGGACCCGAGCATGGAGGAGGGGCGAGGGAAGGCAGAGAGGTGGGAGGGCGACTGAAGGCATGATCAAAGAGGAGGGTCTTGAGACCAGCCTTGAAGGAGGCAAGGGAGGAAGCGAGGCAAAGGGACTGTGGGTTGGAGTTCCAGAGTGTGGGGGCAGAGGGGCTGAAAGCCCGGCCACCGATGGTAGGGTGGGTTGAACGGGAGACATGGAGCAGGCCGGAGCCCGCTGAATGGAGGGAACAGGCAGGTTGGTAGGGAGTCAGCAGGTCAGAGAGGAAGGAAGGGAGGACGAGGATCTTGAATTCGATCCTCTGAGGGATGATGAGCCAGTGGAGTCGGGCGAGGGTGGGAGTGATGGGGTCACGGAGCCTGGTGCATGAGAGTACACGAGCTGCAGCGTTTTGGATGATCTCCAGCTTGTGAAGGGAAGAGTTGGGAAGCCTGATGAGGAGGGAGTTTCCATAATCGAGCCTTGAGGTGACGAATGCGTGGGTGAGGGTTTTGGCAGCCTGAGGGGTGAGGCAGTGGCGGAATCTGGCAATGTTGAACAGGTTTACCAGTACGTAATTAATACAACTAATTATACTTTGAAGTTCACAACATATATCAGCATGAGCAAAGTGGAAAAAACATTTTTGTATGGGCAAGACATGGTATAGGTAAGCATAATTTACTTCGATTTTGTGCAGTCTCGGTAAAGTATCTTAGTGGTCCAGAATTGAAGCACATGTTTCTGTTGGGAACTATGACAGAGGCAAAGAGCCTCCAGGTAATCAACAATGGATTTGTGATGGAATGGGTACATGGGTGGAGAATTGCACTGAGATGTTGACTTGAAAGTTGGTATTAAACAAAATATTCTGACAGGTTTAGCCTTCCAGGGCCTTGCTAACCTCCCTCTCTCTATAACTTGCTAACTCCATACAGACCTGTCCGCTCACTCCGAGGAGAATAAAAATATATATTCCTAATTGAAAGGTGTAGCTAACTGTATTTTGAAGATGTTTATTAAATATATTCAGGTTTTACATTTGTTGGCAGAGAATTTCTCACAAGTCTTTTTCCTCCCAAGTTTATTGCGATAATAATGAGATGGGTGCAAGGAAAAGTAATGGGCAAAACAAAAACAAATTGCGTTTGTATAGCGGCTTTCACGTCAGGTGGACGTTTAAAGGCGCTTGAGCAGTCAAAGATTTGACCTGATCTGCGGTTTGGGATCAGGTGGAGGGTAGGGATAGGAGGGTAACAGATTTTGAACTCTGTCCTGTGGTGGGGGGGGGGGCAGTGGAACCAGACGAGGATGTGGTTCATAGGTTCACAGAGCTTTGTGCTGGAGGGGACAATTGCAGTCTAGTGTTATAAAGCACTGGTATGATTCACTGTCCCAAACCTGAATCTTAAAAAGGTAGGATGAGTTAGATGACTAAATGTCTCTGTGCTCACTCGGGGCCTCACCGTCTCGGACCTCACCATCACCAACAAAGCCATCTCAGACTGTCACTTAATCTTTCTTAACTCCTCAATCTCTCTCCCCACCGCCACCCAACCCACCTCCGTCTCCTACCGCCTCTGGGAAAAAAATCTCCCCACCCTCCCTCTCCGCTGCTTTGGAGTCATCTGAACTCCTCCCCCTCTGTGCTTCCTCCTGTAATGACCTGTTCTCCTCGGTCACAACTCCCTCTCCACCACTCTCGATGCCCTTGCTCCCCTCACTTCCCAAACCTTTTCCTACTCATGAAAGTCATCCTGGTACACCAGCCACCTCCACTTTCTTAAGGTTCAGGTGCGCTCCGCTGAATGCACTTGGCTCAAATCCAACTTAACGGTCCATCGGCAGATCTGGCTGGACCTTATCAAATCTTACCGCTCCGTCCTCGCCTCCGCTAAATCGTTCTACTCCAAAGCAATCTTGGAGACCAAGGGCAATCCCAGGCTCCTCTTTATTACCAACCGGCTCCTCTGTCCACCCTCTCACACCTCGCCCATTCTCTCCTCCAATGCCAACTGCGAGGCGATGCTGGACTTCCTGGAAACCAAAGTCGAGGGGATCCACTCAGCTGCCTCTGCCCTTCCGTCTACTACCCCCTCCCCATCTCCCCCTCATACCCCGGCCCCTACCCATCCCTCCCTCCACACCTTCAAATTTGTCTGCACTCCTCTCTCACCACCACTATAACCCGCATGAAACTGATCACCTGCTTCCTCGACTCCATCCCTCCACCTCTCCATACCTCCCAGATCCACCTCCTTGACCCTCTACTCACAGACATCATAAACTTTTCCCTGTCCACTTGCACAGTTTTCCACCTCTTTAAATATGGCTGTCATCACTCCTATCCTTAAAAAAAAGCCCGCCCTGGACTAATTCCTGCTCTCAAACTACTGCCCCATCTCCAACCCCCTTTCCTTTCCAAGGTGCTGGTACGTGTTGTCGCTTCCCAACTTCCTCTCCCACCACTCTGTTCACAAGCCCCTCGGGTGTCCATGCCGCCCACAGCACAGAAAAGCTTTGGTCAAAGTGGCAAATAACGTTCTATCCGTCTGTGACCAGGGTTCCCTTTGCCTCCTCGTCCTCCTTGACCTCTGCTGCCTTTGATACCGCTGACCACACTATCCTCCTCCACTGCCTCTCCTTGCCTCAACCTTCATGGGTCTGTCCTTGAATGATTGAGATCCTACCTCTCACACTTCATCTCCACAAACGGTTTCTCCTCTAAACCCCCGCAGCGCCTCATGCAGTGTTCCTCAGGGCTCTGTCCTTGGTCCCCCTTCTCTTCAATATCCGTATACTCCCTCTTGATGATCTCATCTGCAGACATGGGGTCAACTTGCGGATGACACCCAATTCTACCTGCTTCCATCCTTTACTCCAGGACCACTGCTATCCTGACAGAATGTCTGTCAGACATCAAGTTCTGGATGAGAGCCAACTTTCTTCAGTAGAATGTCAACACGACTGAGGCTCTCCTGATTGGCTCCGGTCAGCGTCTCCTCACCTCAGGCACTAATAGTATGAACATCCATGGATGCACTCTCCACCTTATTAAGCCAGTCCGGGACCTTGGCGTCTTCTATGACCCTCAACAATCCTTTCTAACCCACATCTGTACCATGACCCGCTCTGCCTTCCCCTACCTTCGCAACATCACCGGCTCCAGCACCGTCTTGCACTGCAGGCTGCCGAAACCTTCTTACACGCGTTCATAACATCCAGGCTTCACTATGGAAACTCCCTACTTTACGGGCAACCCTTCAGCCACTCTATCCCCACTCTCTGGATACTCCATTACGCAGTCCCTCCGCCTCGCCCCCTCACTTGCCTCCTTTAAGACCCATCTCAAGACCCTCCTCTTTGACTGTGCCTTTGATCACCCTTCCCCCTGCCTTCCACCCTCCCCGATCTCGACCCCCAGCTCGGGTACGAAACACTGCCTGTCCAGCGCCTGGGACTGGCGTCTTCCTGATGTGAAAGGCGCTATACAAATGTAATTTTGTTGTTGTTAATCCCCTCCTTGTTTACACCACCCCCATGCATCCGGATAAACATCTGCTTTCTGTAATGGTTTAGGGATTTGGTTATCCTGTAAATTTGAATCCGATCTGAACCTACAACAACTTGCATTAATATAGTGCCCTTCAGAAAGGGTAGCGTCTTGGAGCAATTAACATGACATAGAGTTATATCCCCGAAGATATTCCAAGTCATTTGCTCCTCTCCTGAATATGTTGCCTTTCCCATGGGCTCTGGAAGCCTTTCAGTGCCTATTCATCATACAGGGGTCGGAAGGTTGTGAGTTCAATCCACATTGGAATTTACAGTTTAAAGCTGACACTCAAATGCAGCGGTGTCCCATTTCCAACCTACCCTTCCTTGCCTAAGTCCTGGAACGCATTGTTGTAGGTCAACCTCGGTCACACCTCTCCCTCCTGGAGCCCCCGCAGTCGGGTTTTCACCCGGCCCACAGCACAAAGACAGCACTTGTCAAAAGTCACAAGCAACATCCTCTCTATCTGTGACCAGGGCTCCCTCTGCCTCCTCGTCCTCCTGGATCTCTCTGCCACGTTCAACGCAGTCGGCCACTCCATTATCCTCCTCCGCCTCTCGTACTTCAACCACCTTAGTGGGACCACGCTCGCATAGTTCAAGTCCTACTTAACTAACCGCCTCCATTTCATCTTGGCAAAATGCACTCCTCGCTAGTCTCCCCAGCTCCACGATTCAAAAGATCCAGCTAACGCAGAACTCTGCTGTCCGCATACTTACCCGGATCAAATTCATACCCACATCTCACCAGTTCTGGCTGAGCTCCACTGACTCCCCATCACCGAACGGATTGACACACTCGTGTTCAAATCCCTTCACTCTCTGCTACCTCTCCAACCTCCCCAGTCCACCACCTGGCGCCTCTGCTCGACTGGCACCGGTCTCCTGCTCGTCCCTTACACCCTCCCTCAATCCCTCCACCTTGCCCCCCTCCCCCCCCCCCCCCCCGCCGCCTCCCCTTTTTCAAGTCCCGCCTGAGACCCTTCCTCTTTGCCCTACCCTGCCCCGGCTCAGAGTCAGGCACTGCCGCTATTAAGCGCTCGGAGGCGCTATGCTGCGTGGAGGGCGTTGCGTTATATAAGTGCAAGTTGTTGTAATTTGTGTTCCTGGTTCTGATTTTTGGGCTGATGTTTGATAACTGTTTATCTGTAGTATGATTGATAATCCCGGCATTTGTTGTCCGGTCGTTTAATTCACAACGTAAGAGTAGAATGAGACCGGGATTGACTCCATTTATCTAACTGCTGTTTGAATGTAATCCTCTTCTCTGCCATCTTTTAATAGGAGTGCCAGCAAACAAATCTGCTTTAAATTTCTCTGAAATGCTGCTTATTCGGCCTGCGCTCAGTCGCAGTCATTTCAATTGTGCTGCATTGGACACTTCAGCACATGATTCTCAGCCATCCACATCCTCCTCGTTTCCTATCGGGAGTTCGGGGTTTTCCCTAGTGAAGGAAGTCAAAGATTCTGCCTCTTTACATGAAGATGATAATATCTCCACGACAAGTGGCTTCTCTTCTAGAGCCTCAGATAAGGGTAAGTTTTTTTTTTTAAGTAATACTGTTCACTGAAATATACATTTCTCTGATGTAATGGCTGTCAGAAAACCAGTTTAATTATTCAAACCTTTTTTGTATGTTCTATACATCTCTGTAGTTCATGTCTTTTAGAAAAGGTGTATTCTGTGCTTCTGGTTTGCGTCATTCTTTCGTGATATTGCCTAATATAAAATCCTTCATCACTTTGCCATTTCTCCCTCATATTCCAGATTTGGGCACGCGCTTTAATTGTTAAAATGTGCTTATTGGATTTGTTGTTGGTGGGTTTCGGTTAAATTTAGTTTGTGTACTGCCGTCAGAACCTACACAATAAATCAAAATGTTAGGTTGTCAGTGCAATACTTACTGCTGGTGGTTGTGCCTCCTTGTGGATACAATGTGTGAGTTCTACATTGGAAGTCCAGGGAAGCTTTGAGAGGTCAGGGAAAGGTTCAGCGTGTTTTCAGACCCCTGAAACTGCAAAGCTGTTCAGTTCCTATTGTCTTGCTCAGTTTCTATTTACAGGCTAGAAGCCTCTGCATATGAATTGTCAATGTTCTTTGTTAGATCCATTACATCACCTGTCCCCTGCAGTGTAAACACAACGTCTAAATCAGATGGTCTAATGGTGCAAAACAGTCATTGCAAATTATATCCTGTATCCTCAGGATTCATACCGACAGACCCAGTATACTCGAGCCCTTGCTCCTCTTCCATGCTTTATTCTGGTGCGCTCAAGGTTGATTTCTTGTAACTAACTTCTCTGGTGTGCTTTTGTCATGATATGCCTCCTCTTCTGAACTTAATGACTTACGCGGCTATAAAGTTTTATGGGAATTGCTACCTCATACAAATACCAATCTTAAGTGAATCCATGATTGGCCTATTTTGACAGTACAGCTGTTTGAATGGACAGATCCCAGCTGAGCTTATTCTTATCGATGCGCCTACACTTCCAGCGGGTGCCACTCATTAGAGATGAGGGATGAGAAGCTGGGCTTGCCTGGCATCAATTGTGATGATATTTGATATATCGCTTTTCACACCAGGGGGACTTTTCAATGCACTTCACGGGATTTACTATGCATTGCCATGACTGTAATTTCAAAGAACATAGTTGTCAATTTGTGTGCTGCAGGTCCCACAAATAGACACAAAGTGAATTGAATAATTTTATCTGCACTGCAATGAAGTGTCAGCTGAGGTCATGAGCTCAAAGCCCAAACCTCCTGACTCAGGTAACAGTGCTGCCAACTGAGAGTGTAGGGCAGTTAATTACTGGAGGGCATAAATGCCCTACTCTACCTCTGGGACTTACTTTGTCCCGAATGTCCTGGCCACTCCATTTGCTCAGCTCCAGCCTGCTTCCTGTCCCCCGCCCTATGTGTCCCAACATTTGTGGACAGGCTTTCTGCCATTCTTCTTCGCTCTCAATAGCTCTATCCCAAGAGCCTCTGACTTGCTCCCTTCATCCTCCCTATCGAGGCACTTCTCAAAACATACCTCTTTGCCCCTGTTTTCGGTTATCTTGCCCATCCCCACGCTCTTGGCTCCCACCCCTTAGTTTGGGTGCCCGTCCAGCACCTGTGAGTGTACTTTGAGACTTCCTGATGTGAAAGTGCTTTATAAACTTAAATTGTTATGTAAATATTGATCCTAAAATGTGAACCTTGGTAGGCTAGTACTTTACAATCATAGTCTTAGTAAAAAGTATTAAATAATCTGATTTTCTACCCAAATGCTTGCAGATTTGCTCATGATGGTGTGAAGGACAGTTGTAAGCAGTTTCTGCGAGTTTATTAGGAAGTGTCTCATAATGGGATTGTGAAGAAGGGCTAAGGTTTAATGGTTTTACTTTTAATTCTTTGATCTAGTTCGATCAAAGGTTATTAAATTTCCAAAGGGATGCCTAAGCAGTTTGAGGTTTGAAGAGGAGTTTGCTGTAATGAGGCAGTATCTAAGGATTTTCATTTGAGCTCAGTCTGGGCTCAGAGTGAGGAGCACCTGGTTGCCAGGGAAAACAAAACCTTGCTTCACATCAAAGAGTTGTTTTACTTCAAACTGGATATTCTGAATGTGTGGACATTTCTAAAGACACATTTGGTAAGCGAACATGAGGGTTTGTGTGTTATATGTTTGTAAGCTGATTTATTTAAGTTGGTTTTAGTTAAATAATTATATCCTTGTTCAGTTGATCCTTGCCTGAGTCACTTAAATAATACTTGCCACTTTCTGAGAGTGAGCAATTCTACAGTCAGCACTATCCTACATATTTGCGTCAGCCTAGCTCAGAGGTAGGACACTCATCTCTGAGTCAGAGATTAAGGGTTCAAGCCCCATGTTAGGACTTGGAGACACGTAGTCTAAAACTGACACTCCAGTGCAGTCCAAGGGATGTGTTGCATGATAATAATCCTTGCACTTGATATAGCGCCTTATAATGTTGTTGAGACATCTCAACGTGCTTCACAGGATGTGTGTGTATATATAAAATGTATGTTGTGGGAGGTACCATCCTTCAGATGAGATGTTAAACCAAGGGTGTTGCTTGCCTGGTCAGGTGGACGTTGAAGATCCCATGGCACTATTTGAAAAGAGAAGCAAGTTTCTCCCAGTGTCCTGCTCAACAATCCCCCAAATGAAATTGGTCATTCTCTCCATGACATTGATGTACCCAAATCAGCTGCCATATATGCCCACAATATCATGTTGTGGGCACACATACCCACAAGCGTATATCCTGTGAAGTGCTTTGAAACATCCTCTTGACCCGAAATGCTAATTGCTCTACCAAATGCAGAGATTATTATGATTATTCTTTTAGGTTTATTTACATTTATTTGTAGCTGCAAGAACTCTTGCAGCTACAAATGCAGATGTGACCCCCATGAAAGGTGCTATATAAATGCAAGTTGTTGTTTCTAAATCCAGAGAGTAAATCTCAGAAACTCATTCCTAACCACAGCAAGAGGTGTCAGCCCAAAGGTTCCTAAAATTCTGTAACCAACGTTCTCTTCTGGGTTTTTTTCCAAGTGTTTTTTATAACAACAACAACTTGCATTAATATAGCGTCCCTCAGGTAGGGTAACGTCCCAAAGCGCTGACAGTGGCAGAGCACAACTCCAAGCCTGGGGGCGGGAGAGCTGACCGTAGGCACAGTCGAATAGGAAGGTCTTCAGCCACGTCCTGAAAATGGGGAAGGTGAATGGATAGAGGAAGGATGTTTCGGGGTGTAGTGGCTGAAAGCGTGGCCACCAATGGTGGATCGGCGGGCACGAGGGACAAGCAGAAGGTGGGAGCTAATCAAGCAAAGGGCGTATGTTGTGAGGGGAAGGAGGTCGGAGAGGTAGGGAGGTGCCGGGTGTAAAGGGATTTGAAAACGAGTGAGGATCTTGAAATCGGCGATAGGGAGCCAGTGGAGCCTGGCTAGGACTGGTGTGATAGTGGTGCAGAGTTTAGTACGGGTGAATATGCGGGTGGCGGAGTTTTGGATCAGCTGGATCCTGTGCATGGTGGAGCTGGGGAAACCGACAAAGAGGGCATTTGAGAAGTCGACTTGGGAGATGGGGAACACATGCATGAGGGTTTCCGCTGCGTCTGGGGTAAGGTACGGTCAGAGGTGGGCAATGTGGCAGAGGTGGAGGAAGTAATTCTTGTCAGTGATGTGGGGGAAGGAAGCATAGCGGTAGGTCGAACCTGATGCCTAGCTTGCACACTGGTTCGGTATAGGAAGTAAATTACAATATTCTTGAAGTACAACTCAACTCCTCATTAAATTAAAGCATCATTCACATTTAGATTTTATATAAATGTTGAATTAGGCTAAAATGTTTGAAGGAAGCTTTGTTTGTAATTCAAGCATTTGTTTTCTTAAATTTTACAGATGTGACCACTTCAAGAAATCCTTCTTTGCCACCCCTGTGGTCCCCAGAGGCAGATCGTTTTCATTTAGTTTCCCAACAACCCACCGCAAGCTTGAAAAAGCCTTCTTTTAATCTCTCTGCCTTTGGAGGTTCATCTCCAGTAAGTACAGAATGTACCAGTGGCCATCGGTTTCTCATTTGGCTGATAATTATTAGAAAATGTGATATTACAATCCCTGTTTCTTTTTCCAGTCTTTTGGTAGCACATCTTTACTAAATTCAAGCCAGCTTGGGGATTCTCCTTTCTACCCTGGCAAGACTACATATGGAGGGGCAGCAGCAGCAACAAAAAATTCTCGAGTGCGTGCTACACCATACCAGGTAATATTGACCACAGTTGTATCATTGCACTCGGCTTCAAAAGTATTTTTGCTGAACTTATCTTTTCGCTCAAAAAATGAGCACTGAACTAAATACTAAATATTTTCATGGTACAGAACAATTTTACCATCTGAACATTGAGTTGAAGTAATAAGTAATAATTACTTGTTTTGTTTTTATACGGAAGGATAATCTTTGCAAAATTGGTAGAATCATTGATGATTGGTGGTGTTCCCAGTGCAGTTTATACTTCAATTCCCTGAAATTCTACTTGAACTTAATCACTCAAATTGAATTACGATTTGTTTCCTGACACCGTCCACCATTGAGAGTTGCAGTGTTGTTTCATGTGCTTCGATGTCTTCAATCAATTGGAACCAATTTGCTGAGGAGCGACAAATCTGGAGAGTTCTTACCAGTTGGACAAAAATCTCTCGCCTTTACAGACCAAACTATTTTGCGGGGAAGTGGTAAAACCTTTCACTCATACTAGACATGTGGAGTCCTGGAGCTCAGTGGTTAGAGCACTCACTTTGCAAGCGAGAGACCTGAGTTCAATTCCAGGCAGGTCAGGGCGAAACCTTGGGCAATTTTCCTTACTCCACACGCCTAATAATAATCCCTCCAAAAAACAAAACAATAATAAATTGGTCATTTTCAATCTACGACTGTTTGTGGGACATTGCTGTGCGCAATTGGCTGCCGCGTTCGCCCACAAATATATACAGTCAATTCACTTTACAGTAAATTCTGTGAAGCGCTTTGAGACGTCTAGAAGACGCGAAAAGTGCTATATCAAATGCAAGGATTATTATTATTATTACTGAGTGTTTTATTCGCCCCTTTTTGTCTCCACTTATAAAGTAGGGGTCAATCTGGCTCAATTGGTAACATTCTCGCCTCTGAGGCAGAAGATTGGGGATTCAGGCCCCGCATCTGGATTTTGAACTCCCATGTCTAGGCTGACATTCTGTTTAGCACTAAGGAAGCACTACATTGTGGGAGGTGCCATCCTTATGATGAAACCTTATGGCTGTTTCTGGGACATTGTTGTGCACTAATTGCCTGCTGTGTTTGCTTGCAAACAGTCTTCAGTGCTTTGAGACATTCAGTGATGGGATAAGGTACTTTAGGATTATTATAACAAACACAGGCATTCCCATTGTTCTGTAACGCGTTACCAAATGTGAGGTTTCATCATACTAATTGGATCAGAAAATCATTGTGTTCTAAAAGCCTTGATGTATGTGTATTGCTTGCTGCTATGTTCTACTTTGAGTAAATCTGTAACATGGCAGCCCAATGGGATTAAATTTCTTGTAATTTTTTTTCTTATTGACAAGTGCACCTGTTCCCTGCCAGTCAACACATGTCCCTATCATGGTTCAAATGCTTTTCTTGACAGAAGTGATGTGGAGGCATTTGGCAGCCAAACAACTGGTAAACGGGAGTAAACAAGCTTGCCTTTTATTCAAATCAACTATTCACTTACAACTATTCTCCAACTAAAACAGGGAGATGTAGCAGATGACTGCTTTCAACCTCTGCAACTGTTGGTGCCAGTCACTAGTGTACAAGAGCATTATATGGGAACCCTTCTCTTTGGTTAATGCACAAACTGAGCTCTGGAGTATTTTTTTGTTGACGGCATGTCATAAAAATCCAGCTTTTCAGTTTATGAATTCTGGAAATAACAGGAAAAGGAAGAAACTGACTGGCAAATCAGATTTGAGTCCTTATTGCTTGAGCATCATTAAGTGCGTCACATTATATGGGTCATTTTATACCCACCATAGTATACCGGACGGAAGAGTCGTGTACTTGGGCTACTGGCTTCCTACAAGTTGCGCACAGAATACCTCTTAGCTTCTTGTGGTGATCCAACAACCACTGGAAGTGCTTGTGAGAGGGGTTGCCAACTTTCTGAGCACAGTATAGCAGGAATTGAGGTCAGCAGATATCTGACAACCTGGAAGTGCTGACCAAGGTCATTTTTGCATTGTGCCTTGTTATAACGAGTCTTAGTTTTGGATCTAAACTACTGCATTTAATGGAGGTGGTCTGTATTAAATCTATCATGTAATAGCAATTAAAAGATTGAACTAATTATTGTAGAATTGTTAATTTAATCTGTTCAGCAGAGATTGCACCAGATTTGATTTATTTTTCAATGTGCCATGTTACTTTAGTTTAAAAATATTGTTTATAATATTTGAATCACAGAATCATGTGACTATATTGTATCTTCACGTAGTTTAAGATTTGTGAAGATTACTTAATACGGAGCTGTTGATGCCCTGCTAATCTCTATCGATGAACATAGCAGTTTGTGCCATTAATCTGATCACATTGTGAATTTATAACTCAGGCTCCAATCAGAAGACAAATGAAAGCGAAACCAGCCAGTTCACCATCGTATGGAGTGACAAGTGCCACAGCGAGGCGTATACTTCAGTCATTAGAGAAAATGTCAAGTCCTTTAGCGGTGAGTCTTTCCTCTTAAAAATGTATGATTTTACTTGATATTATTTGTATTCTGTATCTACGATTGAAACTATCAAAACACCAGCTTCTCATAGTTTTGTGAAACTAGTTTTTGGAAGGAAAGTAAATTTGTGCAAATTGTCACATTTTCCCACAAAGCATACAGTCACTGCTGTTTACAGCCTATACAGTCCAGCACTTTGGGAGGTCCTACTGACATGAAAGGCACTTTACCAAATGTAAGGATTCCAACAACAACTTACAGCGAGCGCCCTTCTCGCAACCAGCAAAATTCAGTCAATCAATGGTGCGAATTAACACATCGGTGGACTGACCCAAAAAACACATCACTGAAATTAGCAGTCAAATAACAATTCATTGACTGGTTTGGGAAACCGGATATTTACCTTCATAGTTATGCCGGGAAAATTAACCAATCCAAGTATTGTATGGAATGTTTAGATTCTGGCGTTGGACGAGCAGTTAGTGGGATATTGGCTTCATTTGAGAAAAAGAATAAAGCCACTTTCTGGTAGCAGAATTCTGGGATCTGCCAGGTAGATGAAGTCGATGCCACTTGGAGGATATGCATCAATTTGTCTCAATGTAGGAACTGCCTCTAATAAATAACAGTATTTGTGACCCAAGCACCAACCCTAATTATTGCTTCTGAAACTGAGGCCCTCTGGTGGTCAGATAACGTAGAGCAAACTGGCAATCCAGAACACACTTTAAGCATAAATTACAAGAATATGTGTATACACACATATATATATATATATGTCCAGTCTACTGGATAAAGTTCTAATGTAAGTGATTCCACTAGATTTATCTTGATACTATTTGGGGACACCTCTCTTTCCATCTATGTAACAATAGATGGAGATGCAAGGAATCTTGAAAGATTGAAAAATTAAATGATTGGTCAATATTTCAGTGAAAATGCTAATTTTATAAAATGTTCTACTTTGGTTTCAGGATGCTAAAAGGATTCCAACTAACATGGTATCTCCAGTTTCAAAGGTAAACGATAATAACTGCCTTTCTGTACACGATGTGATGTTTACATTTGCCTGAGGTTAAGTGTAATTTTGGGGTAAATGTTTTCCACGTCTGCTTTCAGTTTTGTTATCCTGTAATTTGTCCCATAAATAGTTTTCATAATTTCCAATAAAAAGGGAATTAATTTATAATTGTAGCCATTTTTTAGTGATTACATTTTTAATCCAGGTTTTCCAGGAGCCAAGTAAGGTTCTGTTTTTTTGCTTTCTGTGATAGATCTTTAGTTCATATTAAATTAAATCTTTAAATTGATCTTGCTTACAAAGTACATGTTGTGGAATTTCATGAACCTAAACAGTGTATGATCATTCTGTTCAATCTCTGCTGTGAGTAAGAGGTGCAGTAGCTTAATGCTTAGAAGTATTAAATCAAAAGTGGCAAGTGATGCATTACATTTCACAAACTAATTCAATATAAACTTGAAGTATGATTTGATGAATTCAGCGCAAAAGAATAATATACCACACTTTGAGTGGTCAGTTGCTTGCATTTTAAAAATAGATGGCTAACTATTTGGATTTGTCCTAAACCTTGACCGTGAATCAGAATGCTTTCGGTTGTTCTGTTCATATCTACCCATTTGCCAGTCCTCAAATTTTGATGTGCATTTTTCATTTGGTCACAATTACATTCTCAACTTTTTCAGCCCTTTGAGAAAACTGCTGCAGATGTTATAGATTGGCAATCCAAATTCCGAAAGGTAGGTTGTGAAACAGTGTAACTTACTGAATAAGAATTTTTCTACAGTGTTGTACTTGACAGTACTTTGAAACAATTTAAGATGCCCTAGATCTCCTTGTTCTTCCCCTTTCTCCCCCCCACCCTATGTGTGTGTGTGTGTATATATATATATATAGAACTTACTGTAGAACTGCAATTCTGTTTCTTCCAATTCTTGTTGTTGCATAACATTTGAGGTTCTTTGGGGTTCCTTTTCTCCTCTGTGTCTTCACTAACGTATCAGGTCAGATGTGCGGTTTGAGCACAATTGGAGTGATTTCAAGTGGTCCAGAATGACCTCACTGGTTGAGTCACGTATTGCTTTGTCTTGGAAGTTTGTGGTGAAAGCATTGAGAGACTTTTGGGACTCTCCCAATTAACTCCAACTTTTAAATGTCTCATCTTATTGATGGTTTTGCTAGATTATTGATGGTTTCACTAGCAGAGATTAGTGCACGAAAACTGAAGTGCCCAAAGACATGTGAATACACGCCCAGCCGCCTAATTTATTCTATACTGACAATGGGCAGCACCAATGCCACCAGGGTGCTGCTAAGCATTATAATCATAATAAACATAATGAGTTCAATTTAAATGAAGTAGAACTGTGGCCATCATCTTGGACATTGTTGACTGAGGTTTATGTAAATACTGTATTAAGCTTCCTGGAAGCTTTGTGTCCTTTCTCCTGGACTGGGCAAGGTCTACCCAGTGTGCTCTCAGACTGACAGGTAGACAATACTATTTATCACAGCTCAAGCAGAAGCTGCTGGTCCATCTGCTCAGCATGAATTAGTTGAAGCTTGGTGTTTTGATCAGTATGGTGTTGCTGATGTTGATTTTTCAAAAACCACAAGAATAAGTTTCATGTCCTCCTGCCTATTTAGGAGAAATATGGCAGAATTCAGCTTGAAAGGAATTTAAGATGTTTTGAGGCGAAATTCTAATATTTATCCACTGCATGTCTGAATGCAGAATTAAAGTACATTTTGCATCTCCTCAGTTGCTTATTAAATCTTAACCCTTTGGGGATTTTCTCCATGAGAAGTAAGATAATTTATTTGAATGATGTCTGTTTTTTTTGTCTGAGCAAGAGCAAATATTGAAAAAACAATGTAGAGTATTTTCTTCTGTTTGGGGTTACATTGTCGTTTTCCCCCAGTATTTAATTGAGTGCACTTGATTTTTGAATATTTGAATACTTTCTGTTTTTAGAAAAACATAGATCGATTCATTTATACAAAATGAACTGGCACTATTCAATTCAAATGGCATTTCCTACCCAGTCTTCCCTGCCAAACTAGGTACTCGGGTGCAGTCTGTCAACAACCCATTTTAAATTTTCTCAGTTGCTTATCAAATCTTAAGAGTTGAAGGATTTTCTCCATGAGAGAAAAGATAATTTATTAAGTAAATTATTTAAATCGTGACGACTCTCTGTGGTTCCAATGTTTTCTATGATTCTGCTTGACCTTTGTTCACTATTTTAAAGTAATGTAGTAAATGTAAAATAATAAAACATTCAATGACAAAAAAAATAAAAGTACTATATTGTAGTTTTGGAATTCATATTAATTCATTATGATTAAAAACAAGATTGTGAATTTTAAAATAAGAGTGATTTAGAATTGTAAATTGAATTCTGACTGTGTGAGGCACAGCTTCTGTTCCGCTTTGGGGTTAGAGGGGAAGGAAGGAGAAGTTGAGCGATTACTAATAATAGTTTTTCTTCCCATGGGGTGGTTGGGAAGAAATTACTGAGGAACTTTTTTTTAAGAAAAGCGTATTTAAAAAATGCAAAATTTAAATTGAAAGAAAATATGCATCATGCCATGGAGGGGAGTCCTAATATCTTGCTTACCTGCAGTTAATCAGTTGACTTGATTTATTAGCTTGCGATAATGTTATTAAAAGATGTTCTGTTGATTTTTTTCCCATAAGCATAAACTTTTGGTGGATGAGCTTGTGTATGATCTCAAACAGCTGTGGTTTAAAACCTCATCAGAGTGCAGTACTTACTGGTTTTGCTCCAGGATATCTTGTTGAGAAGCCTTCTTTCTAATGTTGACTTTTAAACATTGCATTGCACCTGTGACAAGGAATTAAGTAATGGCAGTGGAGGTCATGAAGGTTCAGCCAACAAACAGCTTAACACTGCCAGAGCAGCAGTTGATGGTACATTCAGCTGTTGCTGGGTAAAAGCTGTGCAATTGTCTATTCATAGTACTTAATGCGTATATAGCACAGAGCACCACTTAATCAAGGTTGAGGCAGTCATCCATTTAAGTGAGCCAAGAAAGGGAAAATGGGTCACTGACACAGAATCTGAGTACCTGGTTTATCAGGGAATGGATAGGAAATACTGTTTAAATGTCAGTTTTTGTAAAAATGGTTCTTTCAGGACTTGAAATTCTGCAAAGGGGGTACTTGTGATACATTTTATGGTTCCACTTATTGACATCTAGCCCAAGTAGCAGCTCCTTTACGTTGGAGCCTGGTCATTAAGGGTCAGACCTGTAACTTTTCTGTGTCTGGTATGAAACGTTGGGGACCAAGGCCTTCTCCTATGCTGTAAATTTCTTTGGTTCAGCATTGATCAGCACCTTCTGAGCAAACGGGAAGCTCAGAGGGAATGTTTCACCTTTTTGAATTAATTATAAAGTGTATACTGATTTATGTTCTTAAAGTACTTTAGTGATTACTTGAGTTTTTGCTGATTTCTGAGGAAATGATCCCCCATTTTCGTAACTAATTAAATACATATTTCAATAAAACTGTCGAAAGGATCAATTTCCAAAATGCATTTATTTTTGCTCACGCAGATAACCCAGAATTGTAATCGTTTGGGGTGAAATGTTGAATCAGTTAAATGTCTTGTTTTACTTTGGTTCACTGATTAAACCATTTCTCTTTAGCTGGATGCGCAGCCTCCTCCAGTCCAGAAACTCCAGACACCTAAGTTTTCTTCCGGAGCAACAAATAGATCAATGTTTTTCAAGCCATCATTGACTCCTGGAGGCCACACTAATAGACCTGTTGAAAGGACAGAAGCACGGAGCAATGTAAGACAGAAATGTTGCTGCTGCTTATTCTTCATTTGATCTATGGTATCTTTATTTGGTGTTAAAAGGATTTATTTGATATATCCTCTTTATATTTTTCATATTTCCAGTGTGCCCATTTGAATAATACCATCCAAAGGAATGGAACAAAAATGGAACAGTTAACCTATTTGTACAGCTGCTTGCATGTTTAAGAACTTTCTATGTTGAGCTAGATTTTTCTTCAGTTGCATAGTAATTACTATCTCTGCTGCCTACCATTTATTTTATTGGTATCTCCAGTAAAGATGTCATTTTGTTCTGGAACTCTACTTCAGAAAATTGCGACTATCTGTAAAGCTGCTAACTATTTTTTCCAATCTGGGCTGTGGCGTTGGTATTATGAAGTGTACTGGGTCATTATTTTCTTGGTCAGTCAAGGGTTTGAGATGTACGGAAACCCATCACACTACTTAATCCCCTTCCTTAAGAATATCCAATCCGAGAGTTCCTTCAACCCCACCTGTACTTTGAAATTCTAGAGATGTTTATTGGAATGGAATGGGTACTCTCTCCCTGGAGGGACGCATCCTGCTTACCTAATTTCAGAGTGTATTAGGTGTGGGTTGGCAAGAACCACATGGGATTAAGGAATGTCTAAAATGCTATTGTGAAATAGCTTCTGTTTTTATGATTTTGTGCTACTGTGGAAGGAAGTGCTTCACGTTTTCTTCACGTACCAATAAGACTGACTTTTAAACTCTGGCTGATGACCTGTATCCTTGCTAATCCTCAGACTAGCATCAGGCTAGATTCACTGTCTGCTGTTCTATGCCGAATGGAACTTCCTCCATAAATTGCAATAATAAAGTCCTCCAGGAGGAGGATAATTGAAATTGCCACATAATCACTGTAGTGATGCTCCTCGAAAGCAGTTTTTTTAACTGAAAGCGATCCAATCCCTTTGGTTATAAGCAGCCAATGCAAAAGTTTTAAATAACCTGATTATCTTTACCAAATACATTGTGCACACTAAAGACTGAAACTGGTTGAGTGCAGGTTTGCTTAGTGTTCAGGTCTTCAGTGGACCTGTACTATAACAGAAGCACAGTATCCCTGGCTTCTAGCACTGAGTAGCTGGCTTCTCACACTAATGGCCGATTTCCAGATGGTCAGGTAATAACTGATGTCACTATGGCGTCAGCAGCAACTTGGCAACGCAGAAGTTATAAGATGGCTTTGAAATAAACGAACCAAGACGTTTACATTATAACAAAGTTGCCTTGTATTAACTATCAAGTGTAGGACTAGGTGGTCAGCAGTGACACAGTACGAAATAGTCTTCAGCTTTGGAAGGAATGTAGCAGCTGCACTTACTGAGGATTATAGAGCTTCCTGATGACAGCAGATAATTAGGGTACTTGAGCATATTGCTTCACTGGGTTAGTTTTATTAAATGCATATTTGTGAAAGACTCAACCCCAAAATGAACATTATTTCCAGGGGGTTTAATTTCAGACAGTCAAATGGACACTTCAAATGTGATAGCTCTCCAGTCCTTTAAGTACACTGGTAGCTGCTGCTATTTTGGGGCTCATTTGCACTAATTCTTCTTTTGGACACTTTTTCCTGTAAGCAGACTGTTGATAGAACTTACATTTTTCTCATGTACCTTTCCAAAATACATGGCCTGGGATTTAACAATATGTGTAATTGAAAAGCACCAAGTTGATACTACAAAGTACCGTGCAAGTAGTTAAAGAAAATGATCCAGGGTGAGGATGTTTCTTTCTTTGCTTTTCAGATAGAGGGGGTTGGCAGTTTTCTAATAGAAGTAATGAAAAAGTGGGGAATCCTCTCAGTAACTGGAAGTTACCGACCTATGGGAACTGCACTTGGAAAGTAGATTGCATCAACTCAGTGTGACATTGTTTCTTTGTGATGCCATTCTATTAGAAATTGCCACATGTTAGATTTCCCCGAGTAGATGAAACTTCAGTTCTTTAAATGCAGAAAACCGATCTCCGGATGAGAACAAGAATTTGCCCATTCCGATGTCTGTTCTGTTTGCCAGAAAGCTGTGCACAGAACTTTAAAATTGCTTTCTCGTATACCCGTTTCAGCTGTACGACCTTCACAAGATGAAATGTCAAATAACACAAACTAATTCAACCAGGTTATGCAAATTTTGTTTGTGTGGAAGTTTATTTGTGAAAGCTGCCTATCCTTACACTGTTAAGACAAACCGACGTTAGTACATCTTCAGATCAATAAAGTGCAGTAATTGAAAAGGCGCCATGTTGTGCCTAAGTGTTAATTAAATGTGTTTAGTATTACAGTGTGATATTTAAATCTTTATACTTGAAACAAAGCTGATTTGTGTTCTCCAGTGGCTTTTTAAAATCCCTGTTAGAATGACGTTGGTACAACATTATTTTTGCATTAATGTCAAGATTTGTGAGTGCTCTGCATTAGTTACTGCATCCAATGTAGAATAACTGTACGACTGTCATTCTAGGTTTATTAATTTAGCATTTTAACCAGTGTTACCAAAAATAACATTTAGCTTTACCTTTTACATAGGTCTGTTTTAAATGGCTATGGATTACTTAATCTGGCAAATTTACATATTTACAACTCCCCCTGGACTTTTATACTTGTACATTATACCATTTTTCATAAAAAGGTAATCAGAAATGAAATTCAGTTCTTTATTTTGCTTCTTTTGTGATTTTAGAGATTGCAAGAGAAAACTGTTCCAGAAGTAGCCCTACGACCATTAAAAAGGTATAGCATCAGAATTATTTTCCACAGTTACTCTCTTGGGCAGCAATTAAAAACTGTCCTAAATTCAAATTTTAGGTATTTAGGTTGTTTTCTTGTGTGTATTCCAGTAATAACAGCTGTTTGTATAATGCAAATAGTTCCCCTGCAACAAATGGGCTGACATCTGGGGGAGCTGGAGGAAAGATGAGGAGAGAGAAAGACCATTACTCCGCCAGAGGTTACAGGACACAAGAGGTTAGAGTGAATTGTGTTCTAATACTAAATATTAAGTTGTTTTCTTGTGTTTCATTAATTTTTCATGATTTTTTGGCAAAGTAATTATATTTTTAAGACATGCACCATAATGACTGAAATTATAAGCATCAAGGTACCTGTATAATGTGTACCTACTTATGGTAGCATAGCTTGTTGCCTGTGGTATTCCTCAAAATGCTATAGATTTTGTTCCAAATCTCCCAGAGGTTTCAAAAACATTTTAAGGACCCTTTTTGTCTTTTTTTGAGATTGTGACTGCTACCAAAGTCGATTATATTTTGAGCTCATCCAGTTACACGATTTGAGAATGACTTGGAGCATTTGATGGTCCCACAAAGCAATATCAGTAAACATTAAAACAACTGCCCTTAACCTGATGCTCAAATTGATTGCTACAATCTATTCAGGTTGGTTCTAAACTTACCGACTGCATTCAGTGTCAAGAACAGCATATGTTATGAATCCTCACCACTATTCAGTTATGCAAAAGTGTCATTATTTTGATGAATGTAGACTTGCACAATCTACTTTATTAGCATTGTATCACTCTTTTAATGTAGCCTATCATGTTCAAATCTAATTTGTGCACCTTCCTCCTCTTCAGTAAAGACACAGTTGAACAAATTGGTGTGGAAATGTTGAGTCTTCAAATGTTTATGAAATCAGGAATTGTTTTTGTAGCCAAGTGCAAGGTTTGTTCTGAATGGGTACATGCTTCCAAATGGCTCTGGCCATAACCTTTCATGTAGCAAGGATGTCCCAAAGTGCTTGCTGCCGGCTGGGCAACTGAGCTGAGAGCCAAAGAGAAAAGATGACCAAATTTAAAAAGCCCTGGAAGATTGTCATTTAGGAGGTAGGCAATGTGAATATGGTATGGAAGAAAGTTGGAAGTCAATTGTAGCTGCAATAGGTCTTCCCATAACTTGGTGATTTCCTCCAGAAAAATGGGCCCAAGAAGTATGGGCCCAGTCATATGTGGAATTGCACGCAAATCAGCTCCAGTATTTAGTGAGCACGATATTGGATGAATTGGTACAAGTCTAGACAGATCAAACCACAAAGGAAGAGACTCATTCCTTACTGCTGTGTCAACACGAGTAAACCTGCTGGTCGTATCATTTAGAGTTTAAGCAATAGGAGGTTGGTGATTGGAGTTTGCAAATATGGTTGATCAGCTTAAACGGGCTGGATCTGTTTCTGACTCTGTGCAGATAAAGAAAAGATGTCACTATTTGGATTACCTTATTGATAGCTGTGAGTTTTGAATTATATTATATTAGTAATTAGTAATTAGTCATTCCAGAGGCAGACAATGCTATATTGGCATTGGATCTTCTGACACGGCCTAACCTGATACGGCTATCATGTAATTAAAGGATTTGACCACATCATGATCTAACAATGGTTTTATTAAGATTAATTTGCGGTTTTAATTCATTTTATGTAACCTGTGCAAATGTAAGTTCTTAGTGTATTTGAGCTGCAGATTCCCCATGGCTTTTGTAAAAATGCCAGATTGCACTTACACAGTGGTAATGGATTCCTTTGTAATATTGTATTAAAAAGCCTGTGAACAGAGGGAAATGTGGATGCAATGTATTCAAACAATGGGAAAATGTTATGGTCTCAACAGGTGGAGGTCCCAGAGCTGCCAGAGGTGTCCTTACCCATTAAAACAGCTGCACTGCCTGTTTTCAACTTTGGCTCCCCTTCTACAGCAGCTTCCCCAATAACACCGATTCTGACAAAATCTCTTTCTGACAAGGTATGGTCATCTAGCCAGTCACATTTTCTAATTTAATTTCTTTTTCCCACCATCCATGCCTTGGTCACATCTAGGCTCGATTATTTCAACACTCTGCTTTGACCTCTTCCCAACACGAAAGTCACTATAGAAATGTGAATTAAGTATTCTGCATAGGCTCACCCTATTATTTTTGCAGTGAGTATGAGCAGTAATCTACTCACGGACCCTGGTAGTGCTGATCTATAAGGGACATGTTGTGCCTACTTTCTGGGTGATAGATTCTACATTTTTCCTGAGAGAGATGGTTCTCCTTAGATCGGTGGTGAATTCTTAATTTACTTTTTCCAAATTTTGCAGTAAACTTAAATAAAATGCAATTTGCAATTACAAATTTCAAACACTTCATATTTTCTCTTACAATCTTCTGTAAAAGCATTTTTTACCATTTTGAAACCAAATCAACACTTAATGATGTACACGGGTTAGCCTTTCTGCAAAAGTGGTTGTTTTTCTGATGTTTTTGCCTTCGTTAATGAAATTTGGACTCTATAAAAACAAAACTTTAATCCCTTCATTTCATATTTCAGTGCAATTTTGAAAATAAATGAGTGGTGTAGTGCAACCTTTTATCTTGACTAAATATTGTGTCTAATTCTGGTCTCCACACTGTAAGACAAATTTAGCAGCAATAGAAAGAGCACGGGCTAGGCTTACAAGAATTATACCAAGTTTATCATGCTTCTGCTAGACTGGATAGGTTTGGACTTTTTTTTTGCTGGAGAAGAGACATTTAAAGACGGGTGCACTAATAGACTTGTTTGCAAAAGGTTTCAGTTAAGGTTAACATAAATAGGCTGTTTCCACTGGTTGCAGAGTCTGTAACCAGAGAGCACAAATATAAGATAGCAACTAGTGGATTTAAAAGCGAATTTAAGAGGAACTGCGCTCAGGGTAGTGAGATTCTGGAACTTGCTGCCTGAAGTGATGGTTGAGTCAGATGGTGTTGATGCATAGGGGAATAGAAGGGTTTGGGAGGGAGTCAGGAATGGGTGAAGACTTGTGTGGAGTATAAATAAGAAGAACCAAGTGGCCTGTTTCCGTGCTGTACTATATTCTTTCTAAAATTATCTCAAAGAAACCTGTGGACTCATAATGATATCAAAATAACAATTTGAAAGAATAATGGGGAAAGAGATTAACTTGTGCAGCTTTCAGTATCTTGGACAATATGTATATTTGAATACTTACTTTGTTTGTTTACAGGCAGTGATGTCCAGTCCTAGCAATGTTGCCTTTACTTTCTCAACACCGAATATAAAAGCAACTGATTCAAAATTGCAGCCTGTTTCACTGTCTGTAAGTACCAATTTGTGGTCATGGAAAATCTTTGTTTCTCTATGCATTTGAAATTACTGGTTTTCGCAAAGGTTTAATTTCCATACCAAATCCTTTTATTTAAATTTGAATATCTTTAAGATAATAAAGATTGTAATTGCAACAGTAGATTAGATGTTTTCCTCTTTGACTGTGCTTTTGGTTATCTTTCCCTCTCCTCGGCCCCAGCTCGGGTGCAACCCATGAAACGTTCAACGACTTGGGACTTCCTCCTGAAATAAACGGCACTATATAAATGTAAATTTGTATTGCATGTGCTAGCAATGTTTCCCATTTATTGGAAAACTGTTTGTAACCGCTATGTGCAAATTGGCCGCCACATTCATCCACGAAATACCGTTGCGTCACTTTCTAGTATATCCTGTAAAAGCTCTTGGGGGCTTCTCGACGACGCGATGACACACTGTATCAAATGTAAGGATTATTATTATTAAAGGCTAATCTATGCTTTTTCACCCCTTAAGGATGGATTTACCTTCCGTGAACCAATTGACAAATCAACACAGTTGATGTTTGGTGTTTCTGCACCAAGTTCAGTTAATCCAGGTAATACATATTTTATAAGCAAGTGAGCAATCTGCACATTCCCTGTCATTGCACAATGCTGAAATCTTTTCCTGTTATTCCAGTAAATTGCACCTTGTCTGTTGCTGCGTCGCCTTTTGTTCCTGCACCTGTAAATAAAAGAAAAGATGAGACGTGTGATGGTCCATTCAAACCTGCCAAAACTTTGAAGCAAGGCAGCGTGCTAGACATCTTGAAAGGGCCTGGTGAGTACTTTTTAAGGAGTCGATTAGAATTAATTACCCAAGTTGAAACAGCTGTCTACACAACACAGTGTGAGCATTAGAACTGCTTAACTTACAAATGCAAATATAAATTTACATTTATATAGTGCCTTTCACATTGGGAGGATGTCCCAAAACACTATATACCAGAAGGGCTAGACACATGACCGGGGAGGGGAAAGATGACCAATAGTGTGGTCAAAGAGGTTGATCTTGAGACAGACTTTGAATGAGGTGAGGGAGTCAGAGGGACTCAGATGTAGTTTCAGATTAGGGGTAGATAGGCCGAAAGTCAACCTAACAATGAGTCGGGAACATTAAGCAGGCCAGTGCTCAATGAGCAAAAGGATTGGCTGGGTCAGTAAAGTTTGAGGAGGTTTCAGTGGGGAGAAATTATGGAGGGAGCCCAAAGGAGAATGGAGCTGTTGACATGTGCCTTCTACAAAACAAGGCTGAAGACTGCAAATGTTTGGCTTGTCAGTCTGCTAAGTCAAGTTGGTGATGTTTTTGGTGTAAGAATGGCTTACTGAGTACTTTGTATATCAATACTGATTGTACGTAAGGGTAGGTTTGCATTTATTAAAAGTACAATTCCTCTGTATTTGTTCAATATTTGTTCACAGGCTTGTTCAGTGTTGACTATCAAACAGTGGGCCTGATATTACGTATAAATGATTAACTCTGTTTTAACTTGTTTCAAGGGTTCACTTCGTCTCCTTCATCAAAGCAATTTGAAACTGCGTCCACAGACAGTGTAGCAGCCTCTGTGAAACCTTTGCAATTGGTCACTGAGAAAACTGTGTTTTCTAGTGAGAGCTCCACAGGCACCTTTGGGTTTGGAGAGAAGTTCAAACCACCTGAAGGTGCTTGGCAGTGTGATACCTGCCTTTTACAAAACAAAGGCACCCATAGCAAGTGCATTGCTTGCCAGACTGCTAAAGCTACTTCGAAAACTGCTCCACCTCCTAAACGTACCGATCTGGGATTTGGCAACAGTAAAACTATACCTCCAGTGGGCTCTGGGGGTAAATTCAAACCTGCAGCAGGCATGTGGGACTGTGATACTTGTTTGGTACAAAACAAAGCAGATGGTGTGAAATGTGTGGCCTGTGAAACACCAAAACCTGGAACTGGGGTTAAACCTGTGCTGACCTTGCCTGCAACCACCGAAAGTACAAAAAACACATCAGCAAATCCCTCCAGTACTGGTACAGGATTGAGTTTGGCAGATGAGTTTAAGAAGCCTGAAGGAGCATGGAGCTGTGATGTGTGCCTCCTACAAAACAAGACTGAAGACAGCAAATGTGTGGCTTGTCAGTCTCCTAAACCAGGTAGGTGGTGTTTTTGGCAAAGGAATGAGTTACTGAATATTTTTCAATCTTATCAGTATTGATTATTGACTCCATTCTTTAAAGTTTCTAAATACGCTTCCTTGTTTTGGATTTTTTTCAGTTTGAAGGTAGGTAATGTTTGATTTAATAAAAAAAAAGTAGGGGAAATATTGAAGAAATGTGAAATCTCTCCTCATTCCCCACCGCATCAAAATGTTTTGGGTACCCAACGTTTCAGTATGAGACCTGACAGGGTGGGGTACAGAGTATTTGGTTCACTTGTAGGTGTGTAAGATTGTCATGCAACTTCATTTTTGTGCCTGTGGCCTGTTTTTTCTTTTCCCTCTTCCCTGCACCAAGAACTTTTTGGTGTATTGGAAATATAGAACATTGCCACCTGTTAATTTCAGACTTCCTTGCATTGGTATCATTTTCAAAATAGGCATTCCATAACCAATCCCAGTATTCTGGGTGGAGTCCTGTAGCATATTGGCTAGAGCAAGGCGAAGCTTTAGGCAAGTTTTCTAATTCCACACGGCTAACAGTAAGATGGAATCTGGTTGTTCGTCAATTGGTGGATTGCTTTTCCAGGGGTAATAATACCTGTGCGCAATTGGCTGCTGTGTTTCGCCCATAAAATATACAGTCAATTCACTTTAAGGTGGTTTCTGTGAAGCACTTTGAGACGCCTCAAAAACAAGATTCTTTTAAGACTACTCTTTTCATGCCTCCAAAAAGTGAAGTTGTGATCGTACATTAACATCAATTGATGGTAAACATCCTTCAGTCTGAACAAACACTGTGTGCTCAAGTTGTGTTCCCTTTTGCAAGTAGTTCAGCTTGGAATAATCTCCATTTTACCAATGTAAAATTCTTGGACATGAAGGACTTACCTCTTCTTAGTTGACTCTTTGCATTAGATCATATAAGAGGTCCAGATGAAGAATTTGATCTATCCATTAGATCTCATCCTTCCAGAGCACCTGCCCCAGTGTCCTCTCACCACAGCATCAAGCTTTTTTTAAAAAAATGAATCCAGCATTGTAGCCGCAGCCATCCTTCCTGGTAACCTGTTCCAGTTGTTGTTTATCCTCGATTTCCTAACTAATCCTTACATTTGTCACGCCTTTCATGTCAGGAGGGTGTCTCAAAGCAATTAATAAGATATACTAGAAAATGTAGTGACTATATTGTAGGTGAATGGGACAGCCAATTTATGTGCAGCAATGCCTTGCATACAGCTGCAAAGTGAATGAGCCGTCTTGGCTCTTTGCAGGAGATCACATGAAATGTTGGGCAAGTTTCTTACTCCACACACCTCTGTTTACCTAGCAGTAAGTTGGAACCTGATAAATAGTCAATTGGCGGATTGATTTTCTGTGGGTAATAATTCTAATAATCCTTGCATTTGAGATATATATATAAAACCAATTTATCTTTGTTTTTTGGAGGGATTATTATTAGGCGAGTGGAGTAAGGAAACTTGTCCAAGGTTTCGCCCTGCCTGGAATTGAACCCAGGTGTCTCACTTGCAAGGCGAGTGCTCTAACCACTGAGCTACAGGACTCCGGTAATAATTCCTTCAAAAAAAATAATAAATTGTTCACTTAATTCCACGATAATAAATTGTTCACTTAATTCCATGACTGTTTGTGGGACACTGTTGTGCGCAATTGGCTGCCTCGTTTCGCCCACAAAATATAAAGTCAATTCGCTTTACAGTATATTCTGTGAAGCGCTTTGAGACGTCTCAAAGGCGTGATTAGGTGCTATATCAAATGAAAAGATTATTATTGTTATATACACATGGAAATTCCAGAGATAAATTATTGCCATCACCAGCAGGGCCCTGGAGTACTGCAGACCTGCCTGGCATAGGAACTAGACTATTGAGACGACCACAGAGGGCTGGCTCGATTCCAATATTCCGTTGGCAAACATATCAACTTGGAGCCATTTCAGCTCTGCTTACCTTCCCTTCCCCCTCCAACTCCAAAGGAGGATAGTCACTAATTGGTCGTTTGACATCCGACAGGTGGATGAGGGGGTTGAATGGTAGGTGTCAGGAACACCCAGATGCAATTGGTATTCACTCTGTGGCTGTTTGTAGGACATTGCATGGACACATTGTCTGCCACATTTCCCTGCAAATACAGTCACTATACTTCACAGTAAATTCTGTGAAGGACTTTGAGTTATCTCAATATACCATAAGGTTGTATTAAATGTAATGATTATTATAAATGTGGCTGCTGCTGATGTACACAAATGCTTTGCCCGTCTTTCCTGTTTTCATTTTACGGCTTTCACTCCTAGGTGTTGCATCTGGTGCATCCACTGTTCCTGTTTCTGCGCCAGCGGAAACATTTGCTGGATTTGGTGACAAGTTCAAAAAGCCAGAAGGGAGTTGGAGCTGTGAAGCCTGCTTAGTCCAGAACACATCAAATGTATCCAAATGCATAGCTTGTCAAAGTGCGAAACCTGGCAGCAAAACTGAATTTAAAGGTATGAGCAAGATTGTGCCTCAGCAAGAATGTACTCAATTAAGCAGGCTCTTCAAAATGTACCAGGTGAAGAGCATTGAATGAGTTTTCAACATCAACTTGCAATTTCTTTGCTCACCCCCATTAACCAAATTAAACCAAGATATTCCACTTGGATACACCCCAATCCCCCCCCAAACTATTTTAGGCCCCAAATTGTCAGAGGACAATCAGGAACTGAACCATGTGTTCATGACCACCTGAGCAAGTCAGGTGACCGGATGGCCTCTCTGGCAAGGTAAGCCCGGCCTGAGCCTAGTAACCAAGTTCTCAAGTGAGCTGTACGTTCTAGTAATAATAATAATAATAATCCTTGCATTTGATATAGCGCTTTTCACGTCGGGAGGACGTCCCAAAGCGCTTCACAGAACACACTGTAAAGTGAATTGACTGTATATTTGTGGGCGAACGCGGCAGCCAATTGCGCACAGCAATGTCCCACAAACAGTCGTAGATTGAAAATGACCCAATTTTTTTTTTATTATTGTTTTTTGGTTTTTTTGGAGGGATTATTATTATCTTGTTGATACTCGTCAACAAGGTGATGTCTCACCACTGTAATCATAGACAGACTGCAGACATGGTTGGGAAGAGAGACTGCAGACATGGATGCAGTGGGCATGGAGAGAAGGAATAACATGACCAAATCCAGTGGCAGCCGGTTTCATAGCCAAGACCAATAATTTCATAGCCAAGACAATAATAGTATCTCTGCTTCCTCTTGTGAGGGCAGCTCAAACTGCAATATCAATCCCAACCAACAGAGGGTCAAAAGCATAGCTGTTGACAGGAAGTACCGATCATTCCCATAATCCTTGACATTGTGCGTTCACCCACAAATATACAGTCAATTCACTTTACAGTGTGTTCTGTGAAGCGCTTTGGGACGTCCTCCCGACGTGAAAAGCGCTATATCAAATGCAAGGATTATTATTATTATTATGGGTGAGATTTGTTGTGCAAGCCCCTGACAATGAACAGGAGAATCGTTATGGCATTTGCTAGCTCAAGGAGTAGCTGCTTTTAGGACTTGAATGGAGTATGAATCCACTGCACATGTATGTAGCTGGTTGGAAATCTCCAGGACATTGGGTAGCTGCCTTCACTTGCCGCTGGCTGTGCATATACACCAGAAATTAAACAACATTGGCAAAAATCAGATGATCTGAAAGTGGCCATTTTGGCTATCCATATACTAAAAAAAAATGTTTGCCCCTTAGGCACATGTGCAACATTCAGAACATAACAATAGCAGTCTGATGGCCTAGAAGCTAGGCATTTTTTTTAAGAGCGGGAGTTGACTCACGTGTAAGAAGTAAGCTGGTTTACTCCAGCTCCGTCACATTATTCACCTGTATGAAGGGCACCATGTTAATGCAGCATTGCATATTATACATCATCATATGTCAGATCAGTTTAGAGGTTGTTGACATTTTAATTACGGTCATCTTGCCTGGCTTGTGTGGGAATCGTGTATATATAATCTGACAGAAGTTGCATTTTTCATTTGTATTTTACAGGGTCTGCCTTTTCTGCACTGTCATCAGTTTCTTCTTCGCCCTTCAAATTTGGCATACAGTCCTCGGCAACAGACCCTTCACAAACCAACAAGATCACTGGAGGATTGAAGTTTGGAGATAAGGGCGGTTTTAAATTGGGAAATCAGAGTGGTTTTAAATTTGGTGCGTCAGATGCTAGTTCATCTTCAGATGTCTCTGGAGGAATTAAGTTTGAGGCTGCAGGGGGTATCAAATTTGGGAATGTTTCAAAAGAACAACCTCTGGAGGAAAGCAAAAAGGATAATACTCAAACCTCTAGCAGTGGGTTTAAGTTTGGCTTTTCTGTCACTACTGGCAACCAAGCTTCAACAGTCACTAAATTTGGTGCAGCAGAAGCCAATCAACAAGATAAGAAAGATGAAACCAATGAAGTTGTGTTTGGGGGCTTTAAGTTTGGTTCCAGTGGAACATCAGCAAAATCGGAGGACAAAGGAGTTAAAGGTGGCTATACATTTGGCTCAGAGGACAAAAAGGAATCTCAGTTTGTGCTTGGCAAGCAAGAGGAGAAAAAAGAAGCAACGGCAGTGAGTGAGTTTGGCTTTGGAAACCCGATGAATAAGGACTCTGTAGCGGCTTCACCTTTTCTATTTAGAAAAGCAGCTGAAAAGAAAGACTCTCTGACCTCTGCACCATTTATGTTTGGTAAAAGAAAACAGGTTGAAGAAGCAGGATCTCAGTCTGATGTTTCTTTTAAAACCCCGGAGAAAACCAAAGAAGTTAAATTGGCGCCTATGTTTGATTCTTCTAAACAAGAAACTAAGTCTGGATTCACTTTCAACTTAGCTGAGAAAAGCGAACCAGCAGAATCTGTCTCACAAGGATTTTTATTTGGGCCGGCAGTAAATGCATCAGGTAAGAAAAGATTAGACTGGTCTGCTCTGATATTGTCCAGCAGATGGGTTCTCGGGAATGATGACCTTTTCTCAATCTGGACATGCTGTTAACATGCAGAACACAACCACTAATGGTTCCTCAAGTCATCAGTATAATGGTTCAGTAATCTAAAAGATGACTATACATACATGTATATATGTTTTGTGTATATATTTTGTATATCTATATGTATATATAGTGTGTGTGTGTGTATATATGTGTGTGTGTGTATATGTATGTGTGTGTATATTTTATATATGATCAGATTTTAAAGTCCAGTTTAAGGAAAGCAGTAGTTCCACTGAATGGACTTATCATAGCCGGTGTTTCAATTTAAGATATGGACATTGTTCACCTTCCACCCTACCAGCTTTTCTTGACTAATACTAATCACTTTGCTGTCCTTCGGACCCCTTGGACAGGGCTCTGTATGTGTACAATGCAAATAGGCAGAGCTGCACTTTGTTTTCAAAGAGTGCACACTACAAACCAGGCAGTTTAACTCTACTTCAGGTGCCAGTTTAATACCAACACCTGCATTAGAATTACTCAGAAGATTCATCTGACCAATAAATATGTCAAGTGACTAAATATTTTTTGGAGTTTTACTGGGGTATTAGCAAGAAAATACGTTGAAGTCTTGTTATTCCAGTTTAATCAACCATCAAGACACATTTAAGTACCTGATACTTTTTATGTATAGCTGTTATAGTTACAGATATTTTTTCTGCTGAATGTCCATGTCTGCTCAATGGCAATTTTGTTTAAATTATAAAATGTTATCAAATCCACAGGATTTTTGCACTGAGAATCAAATTTTGCACTTGTTTTTGAACTTGTGGTGGGATTTCTTTTAAAGTATTGGGATCAAAAGATTGGAGGGGGGTCACAAGCCAGTGACTCAAGCAGGAGTAGAAATTGATCTGATGGTAATGAGCATTTCACCTGGACTTAGTGAGGAATCAAAAATGATTGAGGGAAAAGGGAGTCTGCATTCTGAGAAGAGTTGGGGAGAGATGAGGATTGGTGCTGTGTGAGAAAAATTACAGAGAAAGAAGGAATAATCACTGTGTAAGGAGATTTGGAGAGATCACTGTGATAAGACAGAGGAGAGAGCTGACTGGCACTGTGTGAGGATACAGGAAGAGTGAAGAGGTATTATGTGGCAGTTCATTTTAAAGTACAAGGCTATTCTCTCTGACGTAACCCTAATTCTGAAACTGCTATTCAGAATTCCCCCATGAAACAGACTGTCCTAGTCCAGCTCCAGTTCACTGAAGAGCTTTCCTCGTCTCACTCGTGAAGTGGCATCTGTTCGATTCAAACTTCAGAAATCATTCAAATTCCCTTCCATTTTATTTACAACCTTTCCATTCTTTTTCTGTCACTTTATCATTCCTCTTGTGCTTTTTTTCTTTCCTTTTATAGTGCACGTAACATTTTGCAAGAGTTCAATCAACTTTCCTCCTTATTGAGGGCCTTCTTAAAGGGCAACTTTTGTGTAGGGGTAAGTACAGTGAATGATGTGTGCTTAACCCTACATCTGTCCTGTGCCCTTTAAGTCCTGTTTTAAATGGGCTCACTGGTGGAGCCCTGTGTACATCCATTTTACTAGAGCAGACAATACAGTGGTTACAGACAGTTAGGGCAGTGCAGCCAATCTACAGAACTCAGATTTGTTTCACTGACAATACTTGGGAGTTCAATCGTGCCTTTGTCTTGTCTCTACCCAGTTCTTCCATTCATTGGTGTGAATTATGTTGACACAACTAGTAGCAACATTAAATGTCTAATTAGAAATGGTTATCATTTGCACCTTTGGTCCTGGAGAAGAATTTTCAACCAAATTTTGACCATACAGCTACCATCAAGGGGCCACGTTATTTCTGACCTAGGGCTTAATGTTTCAACATTTAGTGTGCATGCATGTATATATGTAAAATTAAGGTTTCATCTCTTGTTCGTGGATTTTCATTTACTTACTTTCCAGATAAAATTGGTCATTCATTTTATCGGTAACAGCAACTTGCATTTATATAGCGCCCTTCACATTATATAGCATCTCCGAGCACTTCAGAACTTCATATGGGACATTGCTGTGCCAAGTTGGCTGCCATGTGTGCCCACAAAGCCCACAGCCGCTCGACTTTATGGTATATTTTGAGATGTCCTCCTGATGTGAAAGGCTCTATGTCAAATGTAAGGATTATTTGTTTTGAATGTTTTGTAAATCTCCTGATGTAAGTCTGCCTAGATACAATATATACAACATATTAACAAATTCATGCTACTCTGAATTTATGGTTGTTTGTGCCTGGTGACAGAGACTCTCTTCTCCCATTCCCAGGAAAGGGTGGGGGGGGGAGAGATTTTCCCCAAAAATGTGTGCAGAATGGGATTTTTTCAGTCTTAAGCAGTGTATTGCTAGGTACAGGATAGCCATGGATTGGATTTTACCCTGACTTTTCCCTTTATCCTCCAGAACAAGGAGCTGTGAAGCCAACCTTCAACCTGTTCGGCAACACTTCTTCCTCATCCACTGCGACAAACCCTGGGGTTTCCAAACCTTCCAGTATATTTGGAAGTTCTGCATCCGCATCAACCACACCGTTTTTGTTTAGACAGACCAACACCACTGCTGGTAGTACCAGTGTTGGAAGTGGCTCAGAATCAACTGTTCCTGCACCTAAGCCATTTTTATTTGGCTCACAGGAGGTCAAACCCACACCCACCACATCGAGTATAGGAGCCCCACCTGCACCCTTCTCATTTGGCTCCACACCCAGCAACAGCAACACTACATCATCTGTGTTTGCATTTCGAGCTCCAGCTACAACATCTAATTCAACAGGTAAAGAATACTCAATGTGTCAAAGGATACCTTGCAGGTTATTTTTAAATTAATGTACTTTCTGGATTGCTGAGCAAGCATTTTGAGCTATGTAGAGCAGCAGTAAAAACATTACAGTAAACTATTGATAACTTGACCTTGGCTTAATTTGTCACTACCATTAATTCATCATGTTGCAGGTTGTACCAGTGTTGGAATTATCTGTCTATCCTGGCTGCATTTATTTATGTATTTATGCATATGCCTAACTCGCCACTCTGAATAACTCGTCACTGAATCCTTTCCGGTTAGAGTAACGAATCATAAGGAATTCCTGTAGTAGCTATGGCTAGAGGTCTGTCCCACATACATCTTGTTTATTGACTTAACTGGATGTCAGTACTTTCAGACCAGACGAAAGATTATCCAAATGTCTGAATGAGATGGTTTCTGCTGGCTGTTTAAAGAAGTAAAGAAGTTGAAAATGTATAATATTGCAATGTTTAGATAAAGTGGATTATCTGCAGACGTTTGTTCATTCAGCAAAATATATTGTATGTTCTGCTTCACAGGTTCCTCCTCAAGCTCTGCCTTTGGGTTGGGATCCAATTCTTTGGTTACAGCAAATCCGCCAGCATTTGGTACCAGTCAGGCCCCTGCGTTTGGACAAAGTACTAACCAGCCACCTGCTGCCTTTGGTTCATCTACTGCGCCTACATTTCCATTCTTAACTGGCTGTCCACCATCCGCCTTTAGTTCACAGTCGACCAGTAGCCAACCATCGCTGTTTGGAGGACAGTTATCCAACCAGCCGCCCTCATTTGGTTCCACTTCATCTACTACCTCAAGTGAGTATATGTAATATCCACCAATGTTCTACCTGTGTTTGTGCATTTTTTTTCCCTTGGGTTTACTACATAATTAGAGTAAAAGGAAATTTTATTTCTAGCTTTAAAATGTTACAACGTTCATTGCTCCTTTATTATTTTAGGTAAAAGTGAGCAGAAATAATTTCAGTGTTACAAAACACCCCTGCGAAAAGAGAATAGTGTGGAAAATGTTATACACAGAAGTGTACTTTTATATAGAAAAAATTAAATCTTAAGTTTAAATAAATAATTGATTCTATACAAACATTTATATACGCCTGAAGACCTTCCTCTTCGGCTATGGGAATTCTCTCCTCGCCGGCCTTCCCGCCACCTCCCTCCACAAGCTGCAGGTCATTCAGAACTCTGCAGCTCGTGTACTGTCCCGCACCAGGCTTCGCGACCACATCACTCCCACCCTCGCTCGCCTCCACTGGCTCCCCATCCCCCAGAGGATCGAATTCAAGATCCTCACCCTCACCTACAAGGCCATTCACGGCCTTGCTCCCTCCTACCTCTCCGACCTACTATCCCCCTACCTACCCGCCCGTACTCTCCGTTCCTCTGGCTCCGGTCTGCTCCACATCACCCGCCCCAACCGCCCTACCATCGGTGGCCGGGCCTTCAGCCTCTCAGCCCCGAGGCTCTGGAACTCCATCCCCCAGTGCCTTCGCCGCCTCCTCCCTTTCCTCCTTCAAGGCCGGTCTCAAGACCTTTCTCTTTGACCGTGCCTTCAGTTCCCCTCTCGACTCTCTACCCCCTCCTCGCTCCCTCCCTTCTCTCCCCTCACCCTGACCATTTCCCCCCTGCTCGGGTCCTGAACCCAACTGTACAGCGCCTTGGGACGTCCTCCCGACGTGAAAGGCGCTCAATAAATGGAATCTTGTTCTTGTTGTTGTTGACTGTGCTTCCAGTCATCTTCCCTGACTCAATATCAGGCCCTGCCACAATTAAAGGGCACAGATCACATCAAGAGTGCTATATAAATGCAAGTTTTACAACCACTTTCAAATCAGGAGGCTGTCTCAAAATGTTTCACAGCATATATTGTATGGAGTGTAACGACTGATTTTTTTTAAGGCTACAAGCAAGATCTTTTTCAATGCAGCGGTTGTCTGACTTTCTCAGTACTGGCAACCAAGCTTAGCATGTGGCTTGTTCAAAGACTTTCTAATGTATGTGTTTGATTTGCAGGTAACAGCTTCCAGTTTGGGAACAGTGGTACTGGTGCCAGTTTTACCTTCAATGCCACCAATTCATCGAATGAGGTATTTAAATTTGGATCAAGTTCAACAGGAGCACCACAGCAGCTGGTTCCCACTGGAAACTTTCCATTCAACCAAGCCCCTGCATTTTCTCCTGGGTAAGACAGTCATGTACGGTGTGAAGATGCTTTCTAGTGCAACTGAATGCTACTTGCAATGGTGTTGATTGGTGGGTGCCCGTAGACACAGGAGACTCCAATTTCTGAAGGGGAAAGAAGCCTGTCATTATACAGAGGTTGGCGAGGAAGCTACGCATCAGGAAGCAACAAGTTACAGTTCAGCCGCACAATCAAGAGCTCCCCTTTGTACTTCTAACCAGTAACCAGCTAGTTGACAATAAAGCAAAATTGATTTGCGGAGTTTCCTTTTCCTTTTTGCAGAGCAGGCATTTTGTAAGGGCTCGGGTGGTATTTGTCTTTAAAATTGGAACTACAAAGAAATCAGGTGTAAAGGCAGGCAGGCTTCCTCAATCTCTCATGCAGTGGTTTGGAACCATAAAATCCCAACCCATGCATGCCATCCAGCTCGCTGCCAGTGCCACAATCTGTTCCCAAGCTAAAATAGAAGGCAAATTCTGAATCATACGGTTGTCTCCAGCATCACTTTCTGCTTTGCGCAGGTGCAGCATACAGAAAGTGACATCAATGCAACCTGATGACCCAGAAGTTTGCCATTTTGGTGTAAAGGCCAGATGGGGCTTGGGAAGTGAACAGGCCAACAGCAGGCAAATACAGTGAATATGATGCATCTGCAAATGTGACTGAATTTGTGCTTTTAAAAAAAACCTCTATGAAAGGAATACACTTTCATAAGAAACTTCAGTCAGTGCTTTATTTCGAAATGTTTGGCTGTTTGTGCGACATTGCTATGTGCATCTTGGAAGTTGCATTTGCCCACCAAATCACTTTGCAGTATGGAGCACTGATGAGGCCATGGACACAAAAAGCCAATTGGCAGGGAAGCAAATGGTCGACGTCTGGTTTATCAGGTCACTTGGTGTCTCTGGCTACACATGTATGGTGTGTAAGCAGTGATGGTAGTGACCTGATGACCTGCAAGTCACCCATTTTGGCTTTCCTGTACTGGCTGGTGTTTCACATGCATGCAATGAACTCGACCTGTGAAATTTCAGTAAGTAATTCATCAATTTCCATCTCTTTTTTTCAATCAATTTTAACGGCTTGGGCATTTTTTCTATACCAATTATTTGTAGAACTTTTTGCAACGTTAAAGTTTCCTCTTTCAAGAGCTAGCTGCGGATTTCTTTATCTTTCAATTCTATTACAATTTGATCCCTGATCATCTCTTCTCTTAAAGCTCCATAATTACATTGTTTATTTAGTAATTCTAATACCGCACAGTATTGATGAAATATTTGCGTAGCCCTTGCTTCCTTGTTCCAAATTTGTTTATCTACTGTGACATTGTTATGTCCACAACATCTTTCCCACATGACTTCTACGATCGTATCTAACGCCCTGTCCACATTTCTCCGTAGTTGCAAAGTAATCCTTGCTTCTTCTCCTGCCGTATTTATGAAAATAGCTGACTGCTGTATTTGGCAATTTCTTCACATTTGAGGCTAGTGCAAATATTTCAAAATCCCACTTCTGACACCATGTCATGTTCTCAACACTCAATGAGCAGAAAACTCTTATTCTCAATCATCTGCAAATATGATTGAATTTGTGCTTTTAAAAAACCTCTATGACAGGAATACACTGTTAAGAAACTTCAGTCAGTGCTTTATCTCGAAATGTTTGGCTGTCTGTGGGACATTGCTATGTGCAACTTGGAAGCTGCATTTGCCCATCAAATTACTTTGCAGTATGGAGCACTGGTTAGCCCATGGACACAAAAAGCCAATTGGCAGGGAAGCAAATGGTCAATGTCTGTCTGGTTTATCAGTCACTCGGTGTCTCTGGCTGCACATGTATGGTGTGTAAGCAGTGATGGTAGTGACCTGATGACCTGCGAGTCACCCATTTTGGCTTTCCTGTACTGGCTGGTGTTGCACTCACATGCAATGAACTCGACCTGTGAAATTTCAATAAGTAAATAGCGAGGACCAAGCCTCAAGTGTTCAACAAACGGACCCACATTCTTATGAGACACTGGAGTTTTACAGTACAAGAAGTTAAACGTCAGTATGTTAACAGCATTTTGCTTGCACATAAGTTAATTGTAACGTGTTCTTTTTCTCTCTTGGACAGGGCTGTTGGCACCAATCCTTTCTCTGCATCATCTGGCGGACGTTCAACTGTCGCTGGACGGAAGATAAAGACTGCTGTTAGACGCAAGAAATAGTAGCTACAGTTCTTAAACGCAAAGCTAATTATTGAAAATGTATTTTCTATAAAAAGCTGGTGCCCTACATTAATAGCTGAGTTGTACCTCTTTCTAGGCTTTTGTCAAATCTGCCTAGGACCATCTGAACTTGCATTTAATGGTTGCTGCTTTTAGTTGCCTGGTGATGGGTGAACCGTAGATTTTTTTTTGGTGAGAACCCAGCAGTGTCATTAGTTAAGGACTTGGCATGGTCTGGCTACAAACCACAAAGTGAATGGCTTTGTACATTGATACCTCTTCATCTGCACCACTAGATATTGTTCATAACCCACCTAATTGTACTGAAAAATTTTGTACAGACTGAAGAGCATTGGTGAGAATAGGGACTGAAGATTCTGCAAAGGTTTTCATCATCGTGTGTGTGAAGTATGTGAATGTGTAGATGTTGAATGGATGGCCTGTTGTGCACTGATGTTTTCTGACTGCGGACTGATTGAAGAATCATACTCTGAGGACTTTTAATGAATTGTCTTCATTTCATAGAACATGTGCTTTTTTAAATTCTGTTATGCTTTTTTTTTTGAATTGCTTATTTCATCTTATTACAAACTATTATGTAAATATACTATGATTTTCACTCAATCTACCATTCTTGGACAAAAATACAAAAATCTGTGAACTTGAATTTTTTGTTATAGCAGTATGTTTTTTGTTCAGTATTGTCGATTAGAAGATTTTATTATGTAAATCTCATTATTCAAAGTTGCCTAAATCCATTTAGCATCCTTTCTGATAAAATTGGGGACTCTTTAAAGTTTGAGTATTGGCTTTTGTGATCCACTTTTGTTTGGACCAAAACAGTGTTGTACAAAGTATTAACTATATATTTTTATATTTGTTTAAATGGACTGTGGTGACTTTGGATAATAAGGAGAACAATTTAATATTAAAGCCATGTTTATTACTGTATGATTAACAAAACCATGGGATAAACGCCATCAATAAAAATTACGAAATAGTAAAAAGACATTTTGTTCTGTGAATATAGCTTCTGTATCGTGGAAATTCAGTACTTTTGCTGGTGTTTATTAAGTAAATGGTGCATTTTTTTGTCTTGGCTAATTTTAGTTGACTATTTTGAACAGCATAGCAAAAGAAACATGACCTTCAGTTACACTTGAAATCAGATACCTGTTTCCACATTTTATACTATGTGGATAACTTGTACTCTGCTCATTTTAAGTTACAGTCGGCAAGTGACATTGCCTCTGAAAGGAATGAGTGAGTACTATGGCTTCATTTCTAAGATTGCTCCTTAACTTCTGCAGTTACATGAGAGGGAGAAATTCACCTGGTCATCTCTCTATTTGAGAGAACAAAAGGTATGCGTGCACAACTTGCATTTTACATCTCCTGTAACATCAGTGTCTTATGGCACTTTACAGTAATCCATGAAGTTCTTGTCTGAGATGATGAGGTGGTCTTGCCAACAATACTAGGTATCTCAAAGTGCTTCACAGGATTTACTGTGAAGTGTAGTGACTTTATTTTTTACATGAAGATGGCAGCATATTTGTGCACATCCATGAAATTAATTTATGGGTGGATAGGGGGGTGGCTAGGACACTGGGACGGACATTCATCCAATCAATCAGATTAGTATGATGCACAAAAAGAAAATTGTCTTGAATGGTGGCAAAGTATTTTGTGTGTATCTGGCAGCTTGTTTTCAGACCTTCTAAAGTGAAGATATGCTGCTAGTCACAAAAAAGTTTTTGATACCATTCAAACTCTTGACCTTTTTAGTGGATCATAATTTCAGGCTCAAAAGGCATCCTACTTGAAGTCAACTCTGCCATTTCTCCTACTCTATATTCTCCAACTTCACCCAAGGAAGAAAAAACATCTCTTCAGTTCCCACACCTGAAGATATTTTTAGAAATGGTAAATTTCAAGTATAAATTCTGTTCTGTACAGTTGTCTGATCTCATTTGGGCCTTAACCCACAAAATATACAGACACTGTACAGTATGTTCTGTGAAGTGCTTTGAGATGTCTCGAAGATGTGAAAAGGCGCTATATAAAATGTAAGGATTACTATTACCCCTCTGCCTTGTGATTCAGATAAATGTGGAGGAATCCCCACTATTACTATTTCAATGACGCACAGATTTCGTTCCTCCTGGTTCTCCCAGTTTTCATAATCCAAATTCATACTTCATTCAATTTAATTTGCAACGCAACTAATTGTAATTTAGTGGGTGCTGCTGGTGCAAATTACTGTAGCTGTTGTGTTTACTATTTAATGCCATTCACTTAATTTCTAAATAATTTCATTCTGCAATTTGTTCCAAGAGATTTGTTTTATGAGAAATGCACCATATTTATATATATATATATATATACACACACACACACGTATTGTCCTCACGTCTATCGTCCTTCTCTACCACCACCAATTATTCCATCTGCCTCGTGCCGGTGTCCTCTAAATTTCTCTGAATCCTCTTCCTATCATTCCTCTGCGCTGATGATTCAGTTGTTAGTTCTCCTAAACAGAAAGACTAATCTTTGTTTTCGTGTTCCCTCTAATCATGACAGCCTTCGAAAGACGTTCCTCCCATAATTCCATTAATTTCAACCATGAGGACTGATGTCAAGTTTATCCCTGCCACGCGTGCTATATCTCCAGCTTTGCCAGATTTAAAGATCTGTATCCTGATAGTCTGCCTCCTACTGTCTCAAGCTTTGGTGTGCCTTCTCCTAAAGCATTTTTCCTTGTAAATTGCCTTGTGTTCATCCTATTGCTAAGAAAAGTTACCCCTCAAAGTGCTGCCTATTCAATCTCAAATGACCAATCACGTTCAAAGTTCTTGGCCTGATTTATGATTTATGCTTATCGCATGGCTTTTAAACTCATGATCTTCCCTATATAACACAAGCCCCGAAAGAAATGCCTACACCTACTCTGTCTTAACCCTTCACATATTTCCCTTAAGGTAAAATGAAACTATTGTCCCATTGTGATGGTACAGGTATATATCACATGTAGGTCACCCAATGAATATGCTGGATGTGATGATCAAGAGGCGGTAATATGATCCCTATTTGTGCAGTTGTCTTAACTGCTGTGTTCCCCGCACAAAACACAGTCACAATACTTTCCAGTATATCCTATGAAGGGACGTCCTAATAAGAAAGATGGTGTACAAAATTTAAGGATTATTTTATTGTTTATTGGGGTCAAATCTTTTACCCCACCCCAACCAAAAAAATTACATGCGAAAATTGGCTGTAGCATTTGTCTTCAAATCCTCCCAACATAAACTTGTTATCGACAAGATGGAATCCACACTCCAATGTCTTCTCCCTGTGGCTCTGACCTCCCTGGCCTTTCCCTAAGACTTACTGAACCTATAAGTAACTGAGGCGTCAGGTTCGATCCCTAACTTTTCTTCCCTACATTCGGTCCCTGACCAGGACTGATTTCCTCCACCTCTGTTACACTGCCCACCTATGACCATACCTCACACCCAACACGCAAAACCCTGGTCTATGCCTTCCTCACTTTCCATCTCGACTATTCCAATGTCCGCCTAGGCCGGTTTCCTCAGCTCCACTACGCACAAACTACAACTGATTCAGAACTCTTTCCCCCCCCCCCCCGTACACTCGCCAACACTGAACTCCGTCCTCACCAGGCTCCACTAGCTCCCTATCACATAAAGGATCAATTTCAAGATCCTCTCATTCATGTTCAAATCCCTCCATTCCCTGGTGGTTCTCTACCTTTCCAACCTGCTTTCTCCGACCTGCTGCCTCCTCTAGGCTGGCTCTGGCCGGCTCGGTCCTCAGCCCCTCCGCTCCGCCATCGGCGACCGCTCTTTCAGCCACTACGCCTCGAAGCTTTGGAACTCTCCCTCAATCCCTTCATGTTGTCCCCCACCCTCTTTTAGGTCACGAATGACCTTCCTCTTCGACAGTGCTTACGGTCACCTCCTCCCCACGCACCCCCCTCCCCCAGCTCAGCGTCAGGCTCTGCCACAGGTAAACGCTCCAAGACTCTGCCCCGCTTGAAGAGCGCGATATCAATCCAAGGTGTCAAATGCAACGATTATTATGATGTTTAATATACTGAAAAGTCAGCTGGTGTCGTTTCTGGGAAACGGAGAGAAGATAAATGAAAAGTCCAAATTTAATGGTGACACTGTCAATAAATGACATTGTCAGCAACGCCCAAATAGGTGCATTAACATTTAACAATATTTTAAACAGAATAATATTGTATGTTGCCACCTACCTCTTTCACTCCCTTACCACCAGAAATTGAAAGAAGAAAGAACAGACACCAAAAATCCACCCTACCCTCTTATTTTTTTGGAAATTAAATACGAGAAACAGCAGATCAATTTGCCAGATGTTGGCTTTTACTTTCGGTTCACGTCAAATGAAACTTAAATTCACAGGGAAATGGCAACATCGGAAGCAGTCGTTTCAGGGGAAAGTCTCAATTGTGTGAAATGTCTGAAATTGTGTAAGAATCTGGTTTTGATTCCTTGTGGCCACAGTTGCTGCATGGGATGTATAAAAAAGTGCGAGGATCAACAAGGTTGCTTTAGTTACAACTGTTCCCAGTGTCGTCAAAGCTTTTCTCCAAAGACTCCTCTTAGTGAAAACACCATTTTGTGTGAAGTGGTGAAAGATTTCAAGACACACGCGAGTTCTTTAGTCAGTGCAGGGGATGTGACCTGTGATTTCTGCACTGATTGCAAAGTGAATGCCGTCAAGTCCTGCCAGCAATGCACAGCCTCATTCTGTGAAAGGCACCTTGCTCCTCATCAAGAAAACGCTGCATTTGGAGACCACCGCCTGACTGATCCGGTGGACTATATGAACAGAAAGGAATGCACAACACACAAGGCACCTCTGGTGTTCTTCTGCAAAACACATAACATGTGCGGCTGCAGGACCTGTGGAATAATGGATCACGGAGCCCATGAAGCTGTTCCTGTGGAGGAAGTAATTCCTGAAATAAAGGTAAATGTTTTTGTGCAGTTGTCAAAAGATTTCAAGATCATAGAATTATACAGCACAGAAGGAGGCCATTTGGCCCATCGTGTCTGTGCCACCTCTTTGAAAAGAGCTATCCAAATCAATCCTTCACCCCCGCTCTCTCCCCATAGCCCTGCAAACTTGTCCTCCCCAAAAAATTATCTATTATATAATGATCTAAAAATCTGTTTGGATAAAGAATACTGTTACTGCCCCTCCCCCCACATCACAGCATCAAGCTGCTTTTTAAATGAGACCAACTTTCCCAGCAACTTGTCAAGGAGATAGACGTTCGGCAAAATAAATTGTAATGGAAACACAATTTAATTTTGTAATTTGTGTAATAGTGTAATAATAATAATATTTACATTTGATTTAGCACCTATAACGTCAAAACATCTCAAAGTACTTCACAGAGCATTGCTGTCAAGTACTGACTGTATTTGAGGAAAAACACAGCAGGCAATTTGCATTCAGGAGAGTACCACAAACAGCCATAAAAGTAAATGGCCAATTTGTCTAGATCAGGGTGGTCCAACCTTTTGGCTGTCATGGGCTGGATTCCTTATCTGAGAAACGCCTGCGGGCCGTATAAGCAATATTTTGGTATTTCCCTTCCAGAAATATAATATTTACACAGCACCTTCTTCATGTCAGCTGTGATGTCTGAAAGCACTTGACGCTACCAGCGGTGGGAATCGAGAGAGGTGGGATGGGGAGGGGAAAAGATCACTGTAAGCATGGAAAAAAGAATTAGGTGCTTGAAGGAGAGAAGGGGATAAACGAGTCGTAGGATGGAGCTCCAGAGAGCGGGCGCAAAATGGCAATGGTGGGACAGATGGGGTGGGGTGGCATGAAGAAAGCTGCTGTTTGCTGGGCAAAGGGAACGGCCAGGTCAGGAGGTTGCAGAGGTGGAGGGTGGTGGGCAAAAATGAAGGATTTAGAGGAGTTTCTCACTGGGGAAAGAGGAAGTTGTCTGAACCACAAACTGCTGCTCTCGCTTCATTTCTCTCTCTCGCTTGCTCTCTCTCTCTGCTCCCTCTCACTGTCTTTATTTCTTTGTCTTACTTTCTCCCTCATGCTCTTTTAATAATAATAATCCTTGCATTTGATATAGCGCTTTTCACGTCGGGAGGACATCCCAAAGCGCTTCACAGAACACACTGTAAAGTGAATTGACTGTATATTTGTGGGCGAACGTGGCAGCCAATTGCGCACAGCAATGTCCCACAAACAGTCGTAGATTGAAAATGACCAATTTTTTTTTGTTTTGGAGGGATTATTATTAGGAGTGTGGAGTAAGGAAACTTGCCCAAGGTTTCGCCTGGAATTGAACTCAGGTCTCTCGCTTGCAAGGCGAGTGCTCTAACCACTGAGCTACCAATTGTCCCCAGACTTTTTCTCTCTCTCCCTCAATCACTCTCTCTCCTCTGTCTCTTGCCTCTCTCTCACACACACTCTCTCTGCTCTCTCGCTCTTTCTCTCTCTCTCCCTCCCAAACATTCAGGAAATAATGTACAATGAAAAATCATCTTTATTTATAGAATGAATTTCTTGCCAAAGAATCTGCCTCAGAAAAACAGATTGAAGTGACTGAAGCTCAGATCGGAAATTGCCAGCAAAACGTGGAGTTTATCATAGTAAGTTTCTGATGGTGAGAAACACATAAATATGTGTTGCGAATGACATCATCCACGGACATGGGCCTGATGTATGCGGGTTTCACCCAATTCTGCTCTCTGCCTCCACCCTTGACTCCATGACCACTGCTGTCCTGACAGAATGTCTGTCAGACATCAAGTCCTGGATGAGAGCCAACTTTCTCCAGTTGAAAGTCAACAAGACTGAGGCTCTCCTGATTGGCTCCTGTCAGCGCCTCCTCACCTCAGGCACTGACAGCATCACCATCCATGGTTGCACACTCCACCTTACTAAGCTAACCTTGGGGTCTTGTTCGACCCTCAACTATCCTTTCTACCCCACATTTACGTCATGACTCTCTCTGCCTTCTCCCACCTCCTCAAAATCACCCGGCTCTGCCACTGCCTCTCCCCTCAGGCTGCCGAGACCCTCATCCACGCGTTCATTACATCTAGTCTTAACCATGCTCACTCCTGCTTGTCTGGGGACAACTCTTCACAAGTTGCAGATCATCCAGAACTCTGCAGCTTGTTTCCTTTCCCGCACCAGGCTCTATGACACCATCACACCCACGCTCGCCCAGCCCCAATTCCCCCCCCCATCCCCCAGAGGATGTCCTCAACTTCAACTCTACAACTGAATCGGGGCCAGGCATTTTATCTGGTTTATCTGGCATCCTGGGTTAACTAACGTCCGGCCTAAGAGGCTTCCACTGTACCTGTACAGTTATCTGGAGATGCTATCAAATTATACATGGGGCATATGGTCAATAGTAAATGTGAGGTTTTCCAAATTGTAGGGAGAAGGTTACATGGGAAGACATCGCTGAAGAAAAGATGGGAAGGGACATTATTCAGATCTTTCAAATATTGGCTGGCATATATGACAACAGGTTATTGCTTATTCTTGCTCTGCTAAACCCTTCACCATGTCGGTCTGCACCACAACCACCAGCCTCCACCCCTATCTCACAGCCAATGCCACTTAAATACTCATGCTTTCATCACAGGCAATGCACTCCTCAATGGAGTTTCCTAGCTATTCTATTCACCAGCTGCATCTCATCCAAAACTCTGCCTCCAGCATTCTCACCTGAACCAAACTCTGCATACCCCAATCTTCCCTTGGCTCCCAACGGATTGATTTCAAGGTCTTTAACCACGCCCCCCAAACTGCACCTCCTGACTTCTCTGATCTTCCCCTAACCTACCCCTCTGCTTAGCCACCTCATGCTTGGTGCTTGCTGCATGTGCTCTCCATGCAGGCATCAGTAGCCTTTAGTTCTTACACCCTAAACCTCTGGAACCCCCACTCTCAACCACTCTGTTTTGCTCCCTCTTTAAGTCCTGCCTCAACTTCTACGTCTGTGAGTGTCCTTATGGCTTCCTCCCCTTCCCCCATCTCCAACCCCATCCCTGTAAAACACTCCAAGATATTACTCTATGTGAAGGTCGCTATATAATTGTAAGTTGTTGTTGATGATACTGATGTTGGTTTAGACTAGTGGTGGCCAACCTGTGGCCTGTGGGCCGGAAGTGGGCCTTGGGGCCATCAAGAAGCGTCCCCTTCCCCCCTCCCACAAACATTTGCACAAGTCTAGGTACGTCCTTATTGGATCGGTAGTGTGATTTCAGTTTTTTCTTGATTGAATATATTTTAATTGATAATAATCCTTGCATTTTTAATAATAAAAATAATTAATAAGAACATAAGAATTAAGAGCAGGAGTAGGCCATTCGGCCCCTCGAGCCTGCCCCACCATTCGATAAGATCATGGCTGATCTTCTGACCTAACTCTAATTACCTGCCCTATCCTCATATCCCCTAATTCCTCTATTTTTAAAAAATCTATCAGTCTCAGCCTTGAAGATGTTCAAGGACTGAGCATCTACAGCCTTCTGGGGTAGTGAATTCCATAAATGTTTCCTCAACTCTGTTCTAAAAGGTTGACTCTTAATTTTAAGACTGTGACCCCTGGTTATAGATTCTCCTACCAGGGGAAACAGACCTTCAGTGTCTACTTTATCAGCCCTTTAAGAATCGTATATGTTTCAATAAGATCCCCCCTAATCCTTCTGTACTCTAGAGAATATAGCCCTAGTTTATTCAGCCTATCCTCATAGGTCAGTTCCCTCCTCCCAGGAACTAACCTGGTGAATCTACGCTGCACCCCCTCTAGGGCAAGTATATCCTTTTTGAAATAAGGAGCTCAAAACCGCACACAATACTCCAGGTGCGGTCTCACCAAGGCCCTATACAGTTGCAGCAACACTTCCCTACTCTTGTACTCTAAACCTTTTGCAATGAACGCTAACATGCCGTTCGCCTTCTTAGTTGCTTGCTGCACCTGCAAACTAACTCTTTGAGACTGGTGTACAAGGACACCCAAATCCCTATGAACACTAACACTATCTAATCTCTCCCCCTCTAGAAAATAATCTGTTTTTCTATTTTTTCTACCTAGGTGAATAACTTCACACTTCCCCACATTAAATTCCATCTGCCACCTACTCGCCCACTCCCCAAGCCTATCTATATCCCGTTGCAATCTTTTTGCATCATCCTCAGAGCTTACTCTCCCACCTACTTTAGTGTCATCCGTGAATTTAGATACGTTACATTCAATGTCCTTGTCTAGATCATCTAATAATCAAGAAATATTCAATCATAAAAATTGATTTTATTGGCCGACCATAAAGGTTGGCAATCGTGATTTACACACTCAGCCCAGAACTACAGATTATGAGGCTAAGTCCCAACTGAAGTGAACAAATATGAATGGACACAGATACTGGCGTTCTCAGGCCCAGGGAGGAAAACTGTGGAGTTTGAGCAGTGAAGAGATGAGAATGGGTGTTTTGTTTGATTACCTTTGATGATTAGGTAGAGGTTTCCCTTAGGTAAAGAGAATGAATGGTGCAGAGACAACAACAACAGCAACAAAATTACATTTATAGAGCGTCTTTCACATCGTGAGGACGTCCCAAAGTCAGGTGTTGGGCCGAGCATGGGGGAGGGGTGGTATAGGGGTGAGGGAAGGCAGAGAGGTGGGAGGGAGACCAAAGGCACGGTCGAAGAGAAGACGACCTAGGCTGGTATGATCTGTGGCTTGATGGATCAAATGAGCTTTACTCATTCCATGTATTCTTGTATTCTTATTGTTGACAATAAATTAGATAATATACATTGCATTTATTTTAATTGTATTTTCTGTACTTGATCAGAGTTCTTCACAAAGAGTAAAAGCTAGCATCGCAAGCAAGTTAACCGACTTAATCAAAACCATTGAAAACACACGCACGGAATTGATTGAGCTTGTGGAGATTCAGGAGAAAGAGGCACTGGAGCAAGAGAATAGCATCGAGAAGCAACTGAGAGAGAAATGTACTGAGGTGAAAAATGATCAACTTCAGCTACAAACATCGTTGAACAGCAGTGACACGTCTGAACTTTTACAAGTAAAACTTAAAAACGTAAGCGCTCAGAGACTCTACCCTGCATGGAGGGTGCTACATAAGTGCATGATGTTGTTGTTGTAAAAGAATTGCAGCTGCACAATTCTTAAAAATAACACCTGCATGTTTCTTTACTCCTTATATTTGTACTGATGATATTGGAACATAATACAGTGTACTTATCAGGTCTAATTTGTGGTATTTCTTAATGGGATTTATTAATAATTTGACACAATCAACTTCTGGAGCAAAGTTCATGTGGGTCAATTGGAATTCTATCATGATTCCTTTTTAACTAATTATGTTATACTGGAAATGAAGTACCGATGTGATATAAATTATCTTTTGACCGCAATAAAAATTGCTTTCTGATCATGGTACAAATTGCTTTCTTACAAAATTAATAATAATTATTATTAACTTCAGAACCTGAATTCAATTTGAATTTCCTATTTCCCAAGATTATCCACTCACCTTTAAGTCTTTACAAATATTTTGCTCATGTTGTTTTCAGCTTGAAGACCAAGTGAACTCTGGGCTTTGGTTAAAATTTAACCAACTTTGCCTCGTCTGTTTTAAGAATAAGGTTGTTATTAGAAGTCATTTTAAGCTTTTGCCCGAGATGTTCTGAAAATGTCATCTTTTTCAGAATATTACTGCAATATTTCAGGTTCTTTTCCATGCTCATACCTTGGGAATGGAATATTAATTCCGTTGCATTATTGCTAAACATACCTTAACTCTCTATTGTCAGACTGAGCAGCTTGTTGTATCCCAAGGATCAAATTTGTGGCGTTCTGTAGCGTAGTGGTTAGTGCGAGAGATGACAGGTTCGATTCTTGGGTGGGACGAAACCGTAGGCAAGTTTCCTTACTCCACACGGCTCTGTTAACCTAGTAGAACATAGGAACCCCATTGTTAGTTGAATAGCGGATCGATTTCCAAGGGTAATAATTCCTCCCCCAAAAAATTGATCATTCAAACCACAACTGTTTGTGGGACACTGCTGCCATGTTTCGCCCACAAAGTGTACACTCAATCCATGTTACAATATATTCTGTGAAGGTCTTTGAGACATCTCAGCAATGTGATAAGGTGCTATATCAAATGCAAGAATTATTATTATAATCACAGACTCTGGAAATTATAATTTCAAAATACTTTCAAAGGGAAATTGTGGCACAATGTAACAATTTAGTAGGGTGGGGGAAGGTATTGTCAGAAGATGTTTAGAAATATTTGACCAACCTAAAAAAAATATAAAGAACATCTGTAAAAATGTTTCATTTATTTCATAAGGTCTGTTGAGGTTTATATTCTCCTCCTAATCCAAAATTTATCCCCAAATTCAAATTGATTGGCTGCTTATCTAATTTTATTTAAGGACCATTGCTGGTGTAGATTAAACTTTCGTGGCTCCCTTCACGGATCCAAATATAAGATTCTGGCAAACAGAATAAACTGGTCTTTTCTGGCCAAATCTTTCAACTTAGATATCAAGAGAGCAGTTAACTCGATTATTAACCTAATTTTGAACTCAACAGTCACTTATAATAGCAACCAGGTTTGATGATTTTCCTTTCTCTTACCAAACTAGGAATTCAAGACTTTAAAAGTCCAAGGAAGGGAAATTGATCTGCCCAACTCAACGTTTGCTCTGTTTGTCAAACTTGCTGCTGCAGAGAATGTCGTGACAAAACTATCCAACCATATTGAAGGAAAACTGAAGCTTTCTGTCATCAAGAAGAGGATACAAGGTTAAATAAAAAAAAACATTTTATGTTTAATGCGGCATTTTATATTGTGTTTTTCATAAGAACTTTTATTCAATTGGCTGAACCTTATTGTACTATTAGAACAAAGCAGTTTAACAATCTAAGAGGTACCTCATGTTTCATTGTATTTTATTGCTATGGCTTTGAGGATTTTTGAAACAAGATTGTACAGGTTTTCCTTCAGTTATATAATGACTATTGCTGGCATGACATTGCTGTTTGACGGAGCTGGGGTGATGCTGTCCTTCAATAGAAAGCTTCCTAATATTGTCTGTGGGTTGGCACTCTGCCTCTTCACCCCTGAATCTAGGTTTAATCCGGACAAGACCTCATCCTCTCAGCAATAAGATCTAGGTGAGCGATTTGGAGATTCTATTTTGTTCTGTGAATTTGCATTCTAGAGGATGACAGGAGAGTAGTTTTAAATTGGGAAATAAGGGTGGTTTTAAATTGGGAGATTTAAATTGGGAGATTGGGTGACTAAATCAACAAGATTAAAAAAAAGTCAAACATGAAATAAATGAAACAACATATGAAATACGTGCGGCTATGTTTTGTGTGAGAGAAACTTTGGGAGGGAGAGATTAGGAGAGAGCACTGTGAAAGCACTTTGGGAGAGAGGAGAGCTGGCTGGCACTGTGTGAGGATACAGGAAGAGTGAAGAGGTATTGTGTGAGAACTCATTTTAAAATAAAAGGCTATTCTCTCTCTCTGACGTAACCCCAGTTCTGAAACTGCTGTTCAGAATTCCACCATGAAGCAGAATATCCTGGTCTCGCTCGTGAAGAGGCATGTGTTCAACTAACTTCAGAAATCATTCAAGAGTTCAACAACAACAACAAGTTGAATTTTATATAGCGCCCTTCATGCCAGACGCTGGGAAGAGCACTATATAATTCGACTTTTCTCCATATTGAGGGCCTTCTTAAAGGGCAACTTTTGTGTTGGGTTAAGTACAGTGAATGATGTGTGCTTAACCCTACATCTGTCCTATGATATATTGTTGGAATTGTTGGAATGATATCAACATGTCAATCTATCTCTGGAATTTCCATGTGTGGGTGGAATGCAATGAATTCTCAGCTTGGTTAGGATACTCTTAATGGGTTTCTGCATGTGATGGATTCCCGACTGTGGTTGCAGACAGTTAGGGCAGTGCAGCCAATCTACAGAACTGAGATTCGTTTCACTGAGTCCAATAGTGCCTTTGTCTTGTCTCAGCCAATTCCGCACAACAGTGTCCCACAAACAGTCGTGAATTGAGTGACCAAATTATTATTATTGTTTTTTCTTGAGGGATTATTATTCCCGGAAAAGCGATCCGCTAATCGGCTAAGAGCCAGGTTCCTACTTACTGTTAGGTAAACAGAGACGTATGGAGTAAGGAAACTTGCCCAACAATTCGCCCTGCCAGGAATACAACCCAGGGCTTTCGCTTGTGAGTGATCTAACCACTGAGCTACAGGACTCCAATATCCTGTAACAAATTCATACTACTCTGGATTTATGGTTGTTTGGGCCTGGTGACAGAGACTGTCTCTTCTCCCAATCCCAGGATAGGGTAGTGGGGCAAGAGATTCTCACAATGGGATTATTCGGGTCTAAGCAGTGTATTGCTAGGTACAGGATAGCCATGGATTGGATTTTACCCTTACTTTTCCCTTTATCCTCAAGAACAAGGAGTTGTGAAGCCAACCTTCAAGTTCAGTTCCTCCTCATCCACTGCCACAAACACTGGGGGTTCCAAACCCTCCAGCATATTTGGCAGTTCTGCATCCGCATCAAACACATCACTGCTGGCAGCTCCAGTACAGACCAATACCACTGCAATCAGTTTCAGAGTTCGAAATGACTCAGAATCGACTGCACCCTTCTCATTTGACTCTACACCCAGCAACAGCAACACTACATCATCTGTGTTTGCATTTCGAGCTCCAGCTACGACATCTAATTCAACAGGTAAAGAATACTCAATGTGTCAAAGGATACCTTGCAGGTTATTTGTAAATTAATGTACTTTCTGGATTGCTGAGCAAGCATTTTGAGCTATGTAGAGCAGCAGTAAAAACATTACAGTAAACTATTGATAACTTGACCTTGGCTTAATTTGTCACTACCATTAATTCATCATGCTGCAGGTTGTACCAGTGTTGGAATTTGCTGTCAATATCCTGGCTGCATTTATTTATTTTTTATGCATATGCCTAACTTGCAGATCCGAATAACTCGTCACTGAATCCTTTCCGGTTAGAGTAACGAATCATAAGGAATTCCTGTAGTAGCTATGGCTAGAGGTCTGTCCCACATACATCTTGTTTATTGACTTAACTGGATGTCAGTGCTTTCAGACCAGATGAAAGATTATCCAAATGTCTGAATGAGATGGTTTCTGATGACTGTTTAAGTAAAGAAGTTGAAAATGTATAATATTGCTATGTATAGATAATGTGAATTATATACAGACGTTTGCTCATTCAGCGAAATGTATTGTATGTTCTGCTTCACAGGTTCTTCCTCAAGCTCTGCCTTTGGGTTGGGATCCAATTCTTTGGCTGCAGCAAATCCGCCAGCATTTGGTACCAGTCAGGCCCCTACGTTTGGACAAAGTACTAACCAGCCACCTGCTGCCTTTGGTTCATCTACTGCACCTACATATTCATTCTTGACTGACTGTCCACCATCTACCTTTAGTTCACAGTCAACCAGTAGCCAACCATCGCCATTTGTGAACCAGCTGCGCTCAATTGGTTTCACTTCATCTTCTACCTCAATACAGTCAATATGTCCAACATACTCAAGTGAGTATATGTGCCAACCACCAGTGTTCTACCTCTCTTTGTTCATTCTTTCCTCTTGGGTTTACTGCATAATTAGGCACAAGGGAACATGTTACCTCCAGCTCACAATGTTGCCATGTTCATTGCCCCTTTATTATTTTAGATCAAAGTGAGCTGAAATTACTTCAGTGTAATATATAAAATGTTACACAGAAGTGTATTTTTATATAGAAAAGTGATATTTTAAGTTTAACCGAATAGCTGCTTTCTATTAATAATAATAATGATAATAATAATAATCAGCAACCACAACTTGCATTTATATAGCGTCCTTTTATGCGGGTATCGTGCTGAAGCACTATAATAATAATAATACATTTCACATAGGGAGGATGTCTCAAAGTGCTTCACAGAATATACTATGTAAAGTGTAGAGACTGTGATTTTTTTAGGCTACAAGATCTTTTTCAATGTAGCCGGTTGTTTGACTTTCTCAGTACTGCCAGCCAAGCTTATTGCATGTGGCCTGTTCAGAGACTTTCTAATGCATGTGCTTGATTTGCAGGTAACAGCTTCCAGTTTGGGACGAGTGGTATTGGTAATAGTTTTAACATCAATGCCACCAATTCATCGAACAATGTATTTAAATTTAATGTTGGATCAAGTTCAACAGGAGCACCACAGCAGCTGGGTCCCACTGGAAATTTTCCACTGAACCAAGCCCCTGCATTTTCTCCTGGGTAAGACAGTCATGTACGGTGTGAAGATGCTTTCTAGTGCGACTGAATGCTACTTGCAATGGTGTTGATTGGTGGGTGCCCGTAGACACAGGAGACTCCAATTTCTGAAGGGGAAAGAAGCCTTCATTGTGCAGAGGTTGGCGAGAAAGCTACACATCAGGAAACAAGAAGTTAGCACTTGGACACAAAATGCCAATTGGCAGGGAAGCAAATGTCAAACATCTGGTTTATCAGGTCACTTGGTGTCTCTGGCTGCACATGTATGGTGTGTAAGCAGCGATGGTAGTGACCTGATGACCTGCAAGTCACTCATTTTGGCTTTCCTGTACTGGCTGGTGTTGCACTCACATGCAATGAACTCGACCTGTGAAATTTCAATAAGTAAATAGCGAGGACCAAGCCTCAAGTGTTCACCAAACAGACCCACATTCTATGGGACACTGGGGATTTACAGTGCAAGAAGTTAAACGTCAGTATGTCAACAGCATTTTGCTTGCACATAAGTTAAATGTAACATATGTTCCTTTTCCAGGGCTGTTGGCACCAATCTTTTCTCAGCATCATCTGGCGAGCATTCAACTGTCGCTGGCCGGAGGATAAAGACTGTTATTAGACGTAAGAAATAGGAGCTAAATGTTTTTGAAATGAATTGTCTTCATTTCATAGAACATGTGCTTTTTAAAATTCTGTTTTTTTTATTGCTTATTACAAACTTTTATGTAAATATACTATTATTTTCACTCAATCTACTATTCTTGGACAAAAATCTGTGAACATGAATTTTTTGTTATAGCTGATTGTATTATCTATATCTCATTATTTAACGTTGCCCAAATCCACTCAGCGTCCTTTCAGATAAAAAACGGGGACTCTTTAAAGTTTGAATATTTGCTTTTGTGATCCACTCTTGTTTGGACCAAAACAGTGTTGTACAAAGTACAGTAAAACAGTCTGATCTGTATAAATCGTGGTTTTACTGAAGTCATGCACATGCCAAACCCTGTTCAATTTCTTATTAAATCCACTTAAATTTATATGCACCAGTTGTATTGACCACCGTATAACTCGTAACACCGCCACAGCATTTATCGGCTGCCAACTCAAAACTTGTTTACCGAACCTTCCTCAAAGAGAAAACCGCACACCTGCACCCCAACGCACTGCGCACCCTCCCTCCCAGGGCAGTAACATCGACGTCATTGTGCACGTCTGCAGGGGGGAGGGAGGGCTGAGAGAGGAAAGACCGTCATCTGATCACGTGGAGAACGAAGGGGACCCGTCACCACGTGCGCACTCACCGGTCTTGAATCGCAGGAACCTAAGTCCTGACCCATCACTGAATGCTCACTTAATGGCTGCGATGCCAAAGGACTGCAATTGCAGTCCATAACAGTCAACAAGTACAGAAGACAAGGTCTTGACCAGTCATGGATTCAGCCAGTGCAGATACCCCAACTAAATGCAAATTAAGTTTATATTCTCTTAAAACAGTTCTGTTTTGAAAGCTGTTTAGTTGTGCCATTCATTGTACAGTACGTTTTCTCCACATGAGTCACAGTACTGTGCAGTACTATATATGGAAGAATGGGCTACCATAAGTCTAATATGCATGAGTTAAACATGGTACAGAAACCTTGCCTTAATGTCATCAGCCAGGACAGTACTTGTGTATCTGTTAGGTGTAAGTCATATAAATCTGACTTGTACATAGCTTTACTTAAGTCATATATGATACGACTTATGTAAGTTTGCCATAACTCATGCTTTGCATAAATCATATTAAATGTTATGGTCCCAATTAATACAACTTTTGTGAGTGTTACTGTTTTACCTATATATATTTACATTTGTTTAAATGGACTATAGTGACTTTGGTTAATAAGGAGAACAATTTAATATTAAAGCCAAGTTTATTACCTCACAATCCATTGCCAGCTGTGGCCGAGCATCTCCACAACTCCTGCCTCTCCCTCTCACAGGCCAAAACTGCTTTTTACTCCAAGACCATTTTCGAGGTGAAAACACGGCCCCTACCACTCCCCAGTCCCTACACTCCTTTGCCCTGATTACTCCCACCTCCCTCTCAACCACCATCTCCCAGATGAAGCCCACCACCTCCCCCTCCTCTCCTCCCTGCTGGCCGACACAGTCAACCAGTCACTTTCCTCAGGTTCTGTCCTCTTCCCCCTTAAAACCAACAGCACTGATAAACAAGACATTGGTCATTTGCTTCACTCGGCGCTTTACAAATGTAATTTGTTGTTGTTGATGGGAGAATGTTAGGGAGGTATTCTGGAGGGATGAGATCAGATGGGCTGAAGGACTGTCTTCAACCAAATCAATCTTGTGGTCGCTGACTATGTGAAGGCCTGTTGGCTGGTAGTCCATCCCACAAACCAATGACACCATGAAGAAAAAGCAAGACAAGGTTTTTGTGAATTCTTTGAACGACCCAAATGCTTTCTAGAATGCAAATTACCAAATTATAATAGAGAGAGAGAGGAAGTGTGAAGTCCGTTATTTGATGGCATATAAGATACACCCACCCTGATTGCAACAGAGAAGCAGTTCAACTCAGAGTGAAGAGTTACTTCCAGGTAACTGCACTTCTAACGCCTTGGGATGTCCTCCCGACATGAAAGGCACTATATAGATGTAATTTTGTTGTGTTGTTCTCTCAGTACTGCTAACTAAATACCTTTAAACACTGGCCACGCTTCAACTCAATGCAGCACAGAAATAATTTATTATTTTGCATCCATATTCTAATGATGGTAACATTAAGAGTTGGAGGATTTACTCCTGATTCTGTAACAAATGTTTTTGAATTCAGTTTTCTGCAATGCAGCTGTAGAGTTTGTGAATTGCTTTTAATTTTTACAATGGAGGTGGATGGGATTTTGGGGGGTCAGCATAATGAAGTTGATAACTTTGTGAAGACCTCATGGCCAGTCCCATTCCACAATCCAGTGACAGTATAGAAAAAAAGCAAGACCTCCCATTAATGATTCAAATGATCTCCAGAATGCAAATACAAACAACAACAAATTACATTTGAATAGAGCCTTTCATATCTGGAGGTCATCCCAAGGCACTGGGCAGGTAGGTAGCCACACCCAAACTGGTGGTTGGGATCTGGAGGGGAGGGGTAGGAGATTGACTGAAGCAGGCTCGCAGAGGTGGGTCTTGAAGGAGGCAAGGGAGTTGAGGTGGAGGGACTGTGGGATGGAATTCCAGACTGTGGGGGTAGAGAGACTGAAGGCCTGTCCCCCAATGGTGGGGCGGGCAAGGCGGGGGATGTAATCAGGCCAGAGCTTGCTGAGCGGAGGCAGGGGGCAGGTTGGTAGGGGTTTAGGAGGTCGCAGAGGTAGGGGGGAGCAAGGCCGTGGAAGGCTTTGAAGATGAGGACCAAGATCTTGAACTGTATCCTCTGAGTGATGGGAAGTCAGTGGAATTGATGGGAGAGGATGGGGGTGATAGGGTCGCAGAGCTTAGTGCGGGAGAGGACACGGGCTGTAGACTTCTGGATGATCTGCAGCCTGTGGAGGGAGGAGTTAGGGAGGACGACAAGCAGGGAGTTTTGTAATCGAGCCTGGATGTGATGTATGCTTGGATGAGGGTCTCGACGGCCGGGGTGAGAGACAATGGCAGAGCCAGGCAATGTTGCGGAGATGGGGAAAGGCGGAGTGGGTCATGGCATAGATGTGGGGGTGAAGGACAGTTGAGGATTGAACAGGACACCGAGGTTCCGTATTAGCTCCGTGAGGTGTAGAGTGCATCCATGAAGGGGGATGGAATCCCGTTTGGAAGGGTTCATAGAGGGAATGGCGTGAGAGGAAAAGCAAAGTTGAGACGCGGCAACTCATTCTAAGCCTTGGAGAGGAGAGGGAGGTTGGAGATGGGGCCACAGCTGGAGAGTGATGATGGGTCCAGGGAAGGTTTTTTGTGGATGGAGGTGATTACAGCTATTTTTAGGGGGTGGGAACAGTGCCAGTGGATAAGGAGAGGTTGCTGATGTTGGTTAAAAGAGGGGCCAGGAGGTGGGGAGAGGGCGGGGGATGGGGTCAAGGGAGCAGGTGGTGAGCTTTATTTTTGAGAAGATGGAGATGAGGTAAGAGGGGGAGACAGGGTCGAAGATGTGTAGGGAGGGTGGGTAGGAGCCGGGATACGAGGGGGAGGTGGGCAGGGGGTAGCGGTAGACTGGGAGAGGTAGCTAGCGGTAACCCCCACCCCCCAGCCAGAAAGATTAATAATAATAATCGCATTTGATACAGTGCCTTTCATTTCAGGAGGACATCTCAATGTGCTTCACAGCAATATACAGAAAATTTTTTTTTACCAGGTCACCAGGAGAAACTCCTGTATCTTTTCTAGTGTTATGGAATATTTATCATTCTATCTGAACATGCAGATGGAACCTCGGCTAAATGTCTCATCTGAAAGACAACACCTCTGACACTCTGATGCAGTGCTGAAGGAGCACTGCAGTGTCAGCCTCGTCTACGAGCTCAAAGTCCCAATGTGTGGCTTTGAATCAACAACTTTTAACTCAGAGATGAGAATGCTACTAACAGAGCCAGTCTGACACGAGGTCATTAATTGATTGTTAGGTTTAAGTACTATAACTTGATCAATTTTTGGATGCAGTTTTATTTTGTTCAAGGTGACAAATGAATGAAACAACATACAGGCAAAAATACATTACAATAGACATAGTTAATGAAGAACTTCTGTTTGATAAATTATATGCTTTAAACAAAGCTTATTACAGACAATAAATGTAATCTATGTTTATTATAAACAATATTAGAACCTTGAGTAAAACTGCAGGGCTCTTCTCTGCCCTATAATCATTAACACTGCATCCCAATATAATTTTTCTCTCAAACTTACTGCACATCCACATTAAGTTTGTCATCTCGCTCCCAATTGGCCATTCTTAAAGTGTGGGCTCAGACCATGAATTATTCACAGGCTATTGAATGATGGCGGTAGTGGAGGGCGGGGGTCAAAATATCAATGCACACCATCCAGTTTTGGTGCCCTGTCTAAGACCATCATGTGACAGCTTAGAGCAAACACAAGATTTATTATTAACCTTAAAAATTACTACACACAAACCTTTGTTGTTACCAAGGCCTCCTAGCCAATCTACACTGTACAAAGCGCTTCACAGGGTATACTGTAAAGTGGATTGATTGTGTATTTTGTGGGCAAAATGCAGCAGCCAGTTGCACACAGCAGTGTCCCATAAACAGTCCTAGAATGAGTGACCGATTTTATTTTGGGGGATTATGGCCATGGCTCTGGGAGAAACTCTCTTCTCAAATAGTGCCATGGACAGGCAGATGAGACCTCAGTTTAACGGCTCAGCCGAAGAATGGCACCTCCGATATTGCAACACAACCCCAGCACTGCTTTGGAGTGTCAGCTTAGGCTATCTGATCCCAAGTCCCAACATGGAGCTTGAACCCACAAACTTTTAAGTCAAGAGATGAAAGTGCTACCAACTGAGCCAGGCTAACACACATGAACAGGAGACTTTTTAAAACTGTTATCACTTTAAAAACAGTAAGATTATGAAAGGATTCAAGAGGGTGGACATTGGTAGGCTGTCTCCATGTGTTGGTGAGTGCAAAACAAGGGGGCATAAGTATAAAATTGCTTGTGGTAGATCTAAAAAGAGAATTTAGGAGCAACTTCTTCCCACAGAGATTAGCGAGAATGTTGAACTCATTTCTGGAAGCTGTGGTTGAAGCAAAATGTGTCTTTAAGAGGAAACTGGACACATAAAAGAGGGAGAAGAGAACAGAGAATATTATGGGGTGGAGGCTGTTGTAGTATATAAACACCAGTACTAACTCATTGGGCCAAGCACTGTGCAAGAAAAAGTCTCATTTTTATTACTTCACTAAAACAACCCAAAGGTTAATCCCTAACACTTGTTCTATTAAATTATGGGGGAGGGGGAGGAGAAAGATTCAATGCCAATGACACTGAACAAAGAAAAGCTCTACATTAAAGTACAGGATACGATCAGATTTGGTTAGGCTCTGGTTAACAAAGTTCCAGAGGGTACATTCTGCCCACTCTTGTGACTTGCTTGGCACAGAGGTTAACTATCCCACACTGCAGAACTACATCTGTACAACTGCAATTAAAGGCAGGAACACAACACAAGGTTTTATCTGAATGAAATGGCAGTCTGAGTTTTTCTTAAATTAATATAAAATATAAAGTCCCCAAAATGGCTAAGAAAGCTAAGTTTAATACAGCACCTTTAAATTGTCAGTAAATAAAGTTTAGACCTTCCCACAATAAAATAGATTTTTACAAGAGGAATATAAATGGTCAAAGTATTGTGCTGTGATGTCACAAAATTAACCAGTGGGTCTCACTGTAGAAGAGCAATTGTTTTTGCTGCAGTCAATATTATATTGATAACGTTATGTTCGCTAACCAGTTTCTCTCTTCACCGTCCTGGTTAGGTCTCCCTATGGATCAGCCTTTTCAGATTAGATATTTTATGTGCTCACACCCATTCACACAAGGCATGTGAAAATTCATCAGATAAAGTATTCTCTGTGTAAATTATAGTTGGAGGTGCATTAGATAGCGTACCCAGTGCAATAATGCACAAATGCACAAATTAATGCGTGAATCAAGCTTAGAATTCATTGTGAAATGGTAGTTTTCTGAAATGCTTTCTTTAGATAAAAAGCTATACAATTCAAATATATACAAAATATTAATTTAAAAACTCATCAAAATTAGCAGATCAAAACACTCATAAATGGATATAAGAGCATGGTTTTCCTAGGAAGCCAATTGGAACAAATTGTTTTAATTCTAACACTGAGCAATTAAATATTATCATTGCAAAATTGGCATCAGGTTTCAAAGCAACCGATACTTTTAACACAGAAACAAGGAAGCAAAAGCTTTCAGGGTTAATTCTCAGCAGGTTTTGTTTCTTCCAGATACTTACCCGAAGCAACAAAGCCCTGCAGGTCAGTAAATGTATGCAATCTTACTGTGTGCGCTTATAATGGCATAAACAGACTGGTACACATGTTCCCCCAAGGTCAGAAAAATTATCGACAAGGGAATCATCCTAAAAATCTCTTAAATAATACTGTTTTTCCCGTTACTTATTTTGGAGTAAAGCTGATAACAACTATCATCCAAATGTGGACTGCTTAGTGGTCAAGGCTATTTTGAAGCCTGACCGGTTAGTTGCTTAGTGATAAGGGCCTACGTTTTCTTTAAGAGATCAAAAATGGTTGAGTTTTCCAAAGCAGCCACAGAAAATGAATGCATTGCAGGAATTGTTACTGAAAACCAAATTCAACTGTGATGAAGAAAGAATGCTGATACAGCAAATGAAAAATGCTAATAGTCAGTGACAAATCCAATTCCGCACCACACTGAAACTATCTCTTCCTGCAAAATTGCGATGCTCTAATTTTGAGATTTTGCATATCCTTCATTTCAAATGCCATATTGCCAGCCTTCAAAATAGATAGAATTCTAAAGAACAAGTCAACTCCTGCCTTTAGTGCAGTCTGAGATAATGCAAATGTTTTCATTCTCAAACTGAATTTTTCATATATTCAGCATCTGTTTCAAATGATCGGTGGCTCCTGATTAGGTAATTCTTTCCCTTTCTTCTTGTGCTGTTGCAGTCATCCAACATATAGGAAACTGTAAATTGGAAACACCCTGTGTTGTCTCATCTTGCGCCATTTCTCTTTACCACGATGGTTCCAGCTACGATATCATACGCTGTACGGTTGTGTTGAAAGAAGAGTAGCGTAACAAAGGCAGGGAAAAAGAAGGCAATGGAGAAATTCTTGATCAGTGCTCGTATTGCAGACCTAATTTGGAAAGAAAAGTGAGCATTTAGGAAATATTAACAAAGCCAACTTCAAAGAAAAGTTTAGTGAATGTAATATTTTATCTGTGGAAAAGTCAGAAAACAAATGTTGCATATATATTAAAAAATATATTATATAACCAAAACAATAAGCAAAAAAAGCTATAAATGGGGAAATAACGCATGATTTGCAGGTAATAATTTGGTAATAAAAACAATTTGGTTCCTCAATCCACGACTGTTTGTGCTGTCCACAATTGGCTGCCACGTTTCGCCAACAAAATATACAATCAATTCACTTTACAGTATATTCTGTGAAGCACTTTGAGACATCTCGAAGACGTGATGTGGAGTCCTGTAGCTCAGTGGTTAGAGCACTCGCTTTGCAAGCGAGAGACCTGAGTTCAATTCCAGGCAGGGCGAAACCTTGGGCAAGTTTCCTTACTCCACACAGAGCCTAATAATAATCCCTCCAAAAAACAAAAACAATAATAAATTGGTCATTTTCAATCTACGACTGTTTGTGGGACATTGCTGTGCGCAATTGGCTGCCGCGTTCGCCACAAATATACAGTCAATTCACTTTACAGTGTGTTCTGTGAAGCGCTTTGGGACGTCCTCCCGACGTGAAAAGCGCTATATCAAATGCAAGGATTATTATTATTATTATTAGGCGCTATATCAAAAGCAAAGATTATTATTATTATGAATACACTGTTTCTTTGCTCTCATATTCAACGCATCTATATCTAAGACCCCCATCTGTTTTTCTTATGGTCTTATCTACTTGCTCTGCGCTCCCAGACATGTTCTTAACTATTATCTGGTTTGTTGCACAACCCCTCTCCCACCATCCGTGGCCAAACTTTCAGACTCTACGCCCCTAACCTCTAGAGGTCCCTCGCTCTACCTGTATGTCTCACCGCCTCTCAGTCTTCAAGTCCGGCCTTAAATCCTGCCTCTTGACACCTATAGTCACATCCCCTTTTCCTCCTCTCCCCTGCTCCACATCTGACCCCCCCCCATTACTGTAAAGCGCTGCAAGTTATTAGTCCTATGTGAAACACACTATATAAATATAAATTGTTGCTCGTTCAAGCTACAGAGCTGTGTCACACCCTCTCCGACATGTGTTGCACCAATAAAATGGCTATAACATTGTAAAAGCAATTGCAGATCAATTATTCTGAAGTGATTTTACTCACGAGGAAAGATTGATGTTCTGTGCCGGTATCACAACAACCCTGTTAGGGGCAACCAGTACAGAGTTGTCACATGAAACGACCCGCAATCCAAGCAGAAACTTGCCTGGGGTGGCTCCTCCTACCCCCCAAAGGCAAATGATCTAGACACGGAGACAAAACCCGTTTCAATTCAGAGCCACTTCAAAAGCCATTTCTATAACTACTGGCAATAACTTACTTTTTCACAAGTTAATCTCGTTCCACATTTTGCTCTTGTATTACTTCCCTGGCCAGCAAATTTCAAATGCAAACTTTTGTACTGTCTAATGCTATGAGATGGTTGTGAGACCTTCCGACTGTTAAAAAGAGTTACACACACACACACACACACACACCAACCAATATGAAAGAAGCTCTTTGGACTTGGGAAACCCAACCCTCAGTTTGAACCCAAAGAATGCAAAATGTTCCAAGGCTTTCCTGATGTATTATCCAATTCTACACAAAAGGCAACGGCTCTCTTATTGTTTGTTATGGAACATTCTGTGACATTGGATAAAAAGGAAGACAATATCTAATTATGTCATGTGAAGTTAAACATGGATTTTCATAGCCTGGGTCAGCTGATGGCATTGTTGCCTATGAGTAAGAGGTTCGAGACTTTGAACTCGCAACTCAGGCTGAAATTCCAATATACTGATGAGGGGCCAGGTTTGCCTACAAAAGCACAGTCACTATACTTTAAAGTACATACTGTGGCTCACTTTGAGACATTCGCTTCACATGAAAGGTATTATATCAAGTGCAAGGACTAGAGTTTCAACTCTGAATGTAAGATAGTAAACAATGCTCACTACCTGATATTTGAACTCAGCTCCCAACACCAACCTATCCTTTTATGTGATGCTTAAATAAATGTCAAAAGCTGTTTGCTCAGAGATAATATTATAGATTTCTCCATACACAAACACACACACCAAGCAACTAATATAGAACTCCCAACATGCCCCAAGTACTGTCTTAAAGACACTCACAGCAGCACTGCACCTCTCCTCTGACTTTCAGACCATCTCTGGTACTCAGCATTTAAACCGGAGATCCACACACCGCTACACAAATCTGGACTAGGGCTATTTGTATTGGCAAATTAGTACCAGCTGGAGTTATGATGCTCTCTTCCCCACCAGAGACCAATAAGTGCCTTACCTCATAGCCACAGACTAATAGTCTGTACATCAACGCTACAGCCATCATCCTCTGAAGATCTTCTAAAGATGTGTCTTCATCAATTTCTTCAATTATGTAATTCAAGGCAAACTTAGAAAGATCCCTGTACATGCAAACAGACATAATGTGACAATATTAAATCAATGCTGCCTGAAAAAAAATCTAAACAGTGAAGATTTTCTGTCACACTTCCAATAAAACCACAACACATATGGAAGTGGCTATTAGCAACTAGCAAACTGTTGAAAGGAAGCAGACGATATCCATAAGGGAATAAGGTTGAATTGGGGGGAGGGGAAGAAAGAGAGTAATGAGTGAGATGCCACATGGGCATCAACACCTTCTTATATTTTTGAAAATCCAGATAAACTACGTCTACCGCACTACCTTCACCCACCCTCTCAGTCACTTCATCCAAAAATTCTGTTAGGTTTGTCAGACGCGATCTGCCTTTGACAAATCCGTGTTGACTGTCCTTTATTAAACCATATTGTGGAGTCCTGTAGCTCAGTGGTTACAGCACTCGCTTTGCAAGCGAGAGACCTGAGTTCAATTCCAGGCAGAGGGCGAAACCTTGGGCAAGTTTCCTTACTCCACACAGAGCCTAATAATAATCCCTCCAAAAAACAAAACAATAATAAATTGGTCATTTTCAATCTACGACTGTTTGTGGGACATTGCTGTGCGCAATTGGCTGCCGCGTTCGCCCACAAATACACAGTCAATTCACTTTACAGTGTGTTCTGTGAAGCGCTTTGGGACGTCCTCCCGACGTGAAAAGCGCAATATCAAATGCAAGGATTATTATTATTATTATTATATTAAGCCTTGCATTTGATATAGAGCTTTTCACGTCTTCTCGACATCTCAAAGCGCTTCACAGAATATATTATTAGGCATGTGGCGTAAGGAAACGTGCCCAAGGTTTCGCCCTCTGCCTGGAATTGAACCCAGGTATCTCGCTTGCAAGGCGAGTGCTCTAACCACTGAGCTGCAGGACTCCACTTCTTCTTGATCCTTGTATAAATATATGAATTGGATTTGCAAGGCAGTTAAATCTGCAGCTGACACCAAGAGAGAAGACAACCAAACTCTTACAAATGCATCTATGCTGATGATTACAAAATTCTACTGGTAAGTATGGTTAATTAACTAGTACTACCAAACACCGCTGGAATCATAATTTCTTCTTTTTAAAAAAAACTATTTTTTAAAAAATCCCAATTCACAGAATATCTTCATGAAGCCCAACCTGAAAGATAATCACATGTTTTGTACCAAATGGAGCAGACGAGGTGGAGTGACTCAGGACAACGGCTGTCTATCTTAATCATCTATTACCAAAACATATGTATTTTACAGGAAAGCTGAGTGTTCTACTTGACACATTTGCACTGTGTGTGTTTTTCTTAGGGGGTGTCTTGTAAGAGGGGTGTCTTGTAAGGTTTGAGATTTAATTTTTGTTGGAAAAACTGAGATTAATCTTGTTTTTGTAAACCAGTTGGTGACTTTACTAACAATCTGACAATATTCCTCATTACCATTCCTATGCAGATTTCAACTACATTTTGGAAGTTTCAGCAAATCTAAAACTTTGTTTTAAAAAAAACAGCAGGGCTATATTTTCCACTGCGCTTTTGGTCACCTTTTCTCTTCCCTCACCCCCAATCCTGCACCAGCTCAGGCACCCAGGCCACTCCACTCTGTAAAGCACTTTTGAGATGCTCCGCTGCCTTGAAAGGTGCAATATAAATATAAACAGTTGTTGTAGATGGTACTTACTTGATTCCACAGATATGCATTACTGTCAGTACCACCACTGCCTTCAGCAGAAAAAGAATTAGGAAGTCCACCATCTCTGCAAGAAACCTCTGCAGCAATGAGGGGATGGTGTACTCACGGCCTAAAAAACAAAGACAGATATTCATCTCTTAAAATATATCAAACTCAAAAACACACAGCACAGCCATGAGAACATTCAAGTACATGACCGATAACTAAAGAGTGTGCATTTTCATAGTGAAAACTTTGCAGACAATTACTGTTATGTGTACTGACTGTTTTTGATGCCCAAAACTCATTTGTGTGTAGCAAATTTGCATAAACAACAATGAGGTGAATGACCAATTTACCTGGAGGACTATTAGCCAGGACATTGGGGACAACCTCCTTTCTATTTTCCAATAGTGTCATGTGATGTATAATGTTCCATCTTAAAAGGCAGATGGGATGTTGGTTTACTGCAAATAGATAAGTCTTCTCCTTGACTCCATCACCCCCATCCTCGTCCAGTTCCACTGGCTCCCCATTCCCAGAGGATGGAGTTCAAAATCCTTGTCCTCGCCTTCAAAGCCCTCCACGGCCTTGCTCCTCCCTATCTCCATGACCTGCTAACCTGCTATGAGTCCCACTCCTGGCTTTCTCTGATCTCTCGTCCACTAGCACCTACCTCCTCCCCAATTTATAATAATAATCCTTGTATTTGATATAGTGCCTTATCATGTCGTTGAGGAGTCTCAAAGAGCTTAACAGAATATTGAATATATTGGAAGTCAAGGTCCAGTTATCAGGAGTTTACTGTAATGTTCCGAAGTTGTTGTAGGTGGAGTCCTGTAGCTCAGTGGTTAGAGCACTCGCTTTGCAAGTGAAAGACCTGAGTTCAATTCCAGGCAGAGGGCGAAACCTTGGGCAAGTTTCCTTACTCCACACTCCTAATAATAATCCCTCCAAAAACAATAATAAATTGGTCATTTTCAATCTACGACTGTTTGTGGGACATTGCTGTGCGCAATTGGCTGCCGCGTTCGCCCACAAATGTACAGTCAATTCACTTTACAGTGTGTTCTGTGAAGCACTTTGGGACGTCCTCCCGACGTGAAAAGCGCTATATCAAATGCAAGGATTATTATTATTATTATATTTGACTGAGCTCTACACACATGGCCAGAGTGGATCAATTTTCTGAGTTCTTTGTCTACCGGATATTAAGGGGAAATATAGAAAATTTCTTTGAAATGCAGGGTCCAAATAAAATGACCAATACTGCCTTTCGATGCAGAACATCTCAATGATTTCAAGTTAAAAGGTTAGTTCCAGTAATAAAAATCCTTTCATTTGATACAGTCATCATTATCATAGCTTGTTCCTCCAAAGCAGCAAGCCAGGATCTATTTGATTTAGTGCCTTTAATGTTGAAACATTTCAAAGTTCTTCGCAAGAAATTGCTCTCTGGTGTAATGTATTTTGTAAGGAAACACAGCGGCCAATTTGCACACAGCAATGTCCCACAACAGTAACATGACCAATTTATCTGGGGATTGTGAGCTAGAGCACTGGGAGGAACTCCCTTCTGTTTTGTATAGTGTTATGGGTTCTGGAACTCCCTTCTGTTTTGCACAGTGTTATGGGTTCTTCAGCATACACCTGAACAAGCAGGATTAATGTCTCATCCAAAGGAAGACATATCTGACAATGCAGCACTTCTCCAGCTCTGCACTGGAATGTCAGTCGAAACTGCAAGCAAACAACCCAACATAGTGTTAATTCCTGAACGTTGATTCTTTAAATATTAATTTATTGACAAATGAGCCCCAAACTGATATCCATAGATTGATTCTGAATGTCCCGTTCACACCCAAGACAGGTTTGGGACATCAATGAGAAGGTATGTCCATTTATCTTTTAACCTGATCAAAAAAAGACCGGCAAATTGTTACCTATAAACCAAAGAACTTAAAACTTGTGACTCACAGGCCTACTGAATAAAGACACAGTATGGTACAGGTTGGCACGATAACAAAAGGCCAAAAGCACATGGGCTCAATTCCCAATCTGTGCTGAATTCACTAATCTCAGTCAAGTAAGAAGTGTGACTGGCTTCAGCATCCCTGGATTGTTGGGGGGGGGGGAAGAGAAATGAGACAGACTTCTTGCTACCAATTGTTTGAGAAGTATAAGTGCACGTTGAGTGGGGACCGCATTAGGTTTTGCTATGTCCTCTCTTCCCTGTCGTCCAATATTTCACTGAGACCGCGATGTAGGTTTACACAACGAGCTATTCTAATGGAAGGAAGCCATCGTATTCACTCCCAGCAGAACCCCCCCCCCCCCCCCCCCACCCCGGGAAAGGAGAGAGAAATAATAATCCTTCACTCTTTAATTGCAAAGTTGTAATTGCAATTATGAAACGTTTGTGTGCAAAACCTCAACTCTATTAGGACTGCAACTACGTGTCACTTCGAATCTGCACTGTCTCTGAAGTTCACGTTAATATTGAACACAGAGAGAGAGAGAGAGAGGGGGAAAAAACAACTGGATGTGGGCTAAACCCACATTAAGGTATGTTTTGGTCTGACAGGTGGAAACCCATCACCAAGATCCAGAATATCCCCAACAACTGAGAATCCCATACATCTCACCTACACAAACCTCCAGCCCCATTGGACTTGAAAGGTGCTGCACCAATATAATGTCGTCGTCGTTGTTGTTGTTAAGAAGACCCATCTGCACCAACATCTGGAGATGAAGGTCCAGACGAGTGAGTGAGTGAAGTGAGTGAAGTGAAGTGAGTGAGTGGTGCAACGTCTCTTACCTCCGGGCGGTGGGTTCCCCGCCTGTGGCTGTGCATGAGCGGCCGGGAGCCGTGTACCCGCCGCCACCACCTCCCGCTGCTCCCGCTGCTGCTCCCGCTGCTGAGCTCCGCCGCCGCCGCCGCCCGGAGGCGTTTGCCCCGATGGGGGGACCCCATAGTAAGGAGTGTACGGGGGGAAGGGGTTGTACGGGCTATTGGCAGCAGTGAGTGCGGTCGCCTCCCCTCCTTCGGGCTGTCTGACGTGCGCGGTGTAATGGGTCGGGGAATAAGGCGGAAAGGCGGCGGCGGCGGCGGTGCTGTGGGGGGGGAAGGCGGCCGCGCCCATCAGCAGCCAACTCTGCCACTGCACGTAGCTGTAGTACTGGCACAGCCACTCCTGCACCCTCCTCGAGTACTCCCCGGCGCTGGCGGCCGGGCGGTCGGCCGCGGGCCGTGCGCGGGGGCCGCCCCGGGGCCGGTGGGGGGCCGGAGCCGCGCCCGCGCCGGAGCGCTCGGGGCGCCGCGGCGGCGGCGGCGGAGGCGGAGGTGTGGCCATGGCCCCCCGGGGCGGATGGAACGCGAGCCCCGGAGCGGATGGAACGCGAGCCCCGGAGCGGATGGAACGCGAGCCCCGGAGCAGCGGATGGAACGCGAGCCCGGGCGGATGGAACGCGAGCCCGGGAGCGGATGGAACGCGAGCCCCCGGAGCGGATGGAACGCGAGCCCGGGAGCGGATGGAACGCGAGCCCCGGGGGAGCGGATGGAACGCGAGCCCCCGGAGCGGATGGAACGCGAGCCCCCGGAGCAGCGGATGGAACGCGAGCCCCCGGGAGCGGATGGAACGCGAGCCCCGGGCGGATGGAACGCGAGCCCCCGGGAGCGGATGGAACGCGAGCCCCGGGAGCAGCGGATGGAACGCGAGCCCGGGGCGGATGGAACGCGAGGATGGAACGCGAGCCCCCGGGCGCCGGCGCGCGCTGCAACTCAGGGGATGATGATGGAGGAGGAGGAGGAGGAGGCGCTTCCCTTCCTACTCCCAGGACAGACTTCACCCGCAGCCTCGGCTTTAGAAGGAACGGGTCAGTGTGTGAAACGTAACGTTCAACATTGCAATGGTGCAAAGAGGTTCCTCCCACTCCTCGTCCCTCCGTCTCTCTCGCTCTCGCTCTCTCCTCCCCCCGTGTGGCTGGCAGTGGACTTGCTCGGCTGAGGATGACGTTGCACTCCCAGTGCTGTCAAAGTGTCTGTGGCTGAAGAAGCACGTACACCCCAACACAGCGCAGGGGGAGGGTTTGTGTGTGTAAAGGGGCTGACGGAGTCCAAGAGAGAGGGAGGGAGGGAGAGCATCAATAGCAAGTCAGCAAACGAGGGCGGTTAAGAGTGTTTTCACATGCAGTTGGGATACGCTTAATAACAAACCCTCCACAAACCGAGAACAATAATAAATTGGTCATTTTCAATGCACGACTGTTTGTGGGGACATTGCTGTGCGCGATTGGCTGCCGCGTTCGCCCACAAATATACGGTCAATTCACTTTACAGTGTGTTCCGTGAAGCGCTTTGGGACGTCCTCCCCATGTGAAAAGCGCTATATCAAATGCAAGGATTATTATTATTATTATATGGAATAACCGGTGGTTGGGGCAGAATTCATTAAAAGGAAACTTGATAGATATCTAAAAAGGAGTATACAGAAAGGGCAGGTTGATGGGACTGAAAAGATTGCTCTTAAAAGAGCCAGCATCGTCTGAGTGTATTTGACACATACAGAAACCCATCACCGTGCTTAAGAGTATCCGAATCAGGCAGGGAGTTCCACATACATGTGCGTAAGTCGCCCACACATGGGGATTTTCCCTGTGTCTGGGAGTGTATTCTCCCTGGAAGGGCATCTATTCCAGGAGAGTGTTATGGGCAAGTTGACAAGAGCCAAAGGTTAGGACATAATGCAATATAACTGAGCCATAGCCACAGAGCCTGAGAGAGGTGCAAAGTAACTGAGGGATACACCCACATAGACAGAGAGCGAGAGATACAAATTAAGCTTTTCTTTCATACCTAGTTTTAGTTTCTAAATACCTGTAATCTAAATGTTGGATTGAAAACATTTCCACATAGTAGTTCAAATTGTTTTAACAAAGTGAACATGAATAACCTTATAGGAGTGACATTTAAGATCACCAAGTGCTAGAAAGACAGCATAGTTTGAAACATTTTTATAAAATTAGAGGAACAGACATCAAAATAGGCTTTTAAGCTCAAACATGTGATGGTTAGAACAACAACAAAATTACATTTGTATAACACTTTTCACGTCGGGAGGACATCCCAAAGCGCTGGACAGACAGAGTTACGGACCCGAGCTGAGGGTTGGGGTGGGGGAGGGTGGAAGGCAGGGGGGGAAACAGGGTTGAAGCGGAGGGTCTTGAAGGAGGGGCCGAGATGGAGGGACTGCGGGATGGAGTTCCAGAGGGTGGGGGCAGAATGGCGGAAGGCCCGCCCGCCAATAGTGAGACGAACATGGCGGGACGTGAAGCAGGCCGGGGCCCGCTAAGCGGAGGGAGGGAACAGGATGGTAGGGGGTTAGGAGGTCAGAGAGGTAGGAGGGAGCAAGACTGTGGAGGGCTTTGAAGGTGAGGACCAGGATCTTGAAGTGTATTCTCTGTGTGATGGGAAGCCAGTGGAGTTAGGCAAGGATGGAGGTGACAGGGTCGCAGAGCCTGGTGCAGGAGAGGACACAGGCTGCAGAGTTCTGGATGATCTGCAGTCTGGATGGAGGAGTTGGGGAGGCCGACAAGCAGTGAGTTTGCATAGTCGAGCCTTGATGTAATGAAGGCGTGTATGAGGGTTTCGATGGCCTGTGGTGTGAGACAATGGTGGAGTCGGGCAATGTTGCAGAGGTGGAGGAAGGCAAAGTGGGTTATGGCGCAGATGTGGGTAGGAAGGATAGTTGAGGGTCAAACAAGACCCCAAGGTCTCGGACTGGCTTATCAAGGTGGAGAATGCAACCATGGATGGTGATGCTGTCAGCGCCTGAGGTGAGGAGGCGCTGACAGGAGCCAATCAGGAGAGCCTCAGTCTTATTGACATTCAACTGAAGAAAGTTGGCTCTCATCCAGGACTTGATGTCTGACAGACATTCTGTCAAGACAGCAGTGGTCCTGGAGGCAAGGGTGGAGGCAGAGAGGTGGAGTTGGGTGTCACCACATACATGTGGAAGTTAACCCCATGTCTGCGGATGATGTCACCAAAAGGGAGCATATAAATATTGAAAAGGAGGGGACCAAGGACAGAGGAACACTGCAATAATCCTAAGGATTGATTTTGCAAAATGAGACGCAAATTAAAACATGCGCTGATCGTTGTGATTATGCGTTATTGCCTGTGGTTTTAAATGATTACAAACACACAGTCAATTTGCCTCAAAGCAAAGTGCATTTTTTAAAATTTTATTTATTCGATTTATTTTATTTGGCCTGGATGTGGTTTTATTTGCATGTTGGAGATTTAAATAAATCGTGACACAACAACATTTGAACGAATGGTTTACTATGTTCTGTTTCTTAACGTGAACATTATAAACATTGATTAAGTAGAGCCTGACAAGACGCTCAAAACTCCACTGTCTGATTTGCAGATCTTCGTTCTCACTTGATGCTGTAATTGTGAAACATTCTCAGCATCTCACTGAGCTCCTGATGTAGGTTTACACATTGAGCTACTTAGACACTCTGCAGGAGTTCAGTTCCGGAAGTAGATTATATCGCAGACTGGGGCATTCTGGCTACTAGGAAAATTTCTCAAGTATTCCTGGCTTCTGAGCACACCCGTGAAAATGGCTCCCAATTTTTTTAAACACATAGATGGCTAGGGCTTCAGGGGCTCAACCACAAATCTACCCTGAGTCGTAGGAAACTGAAAACCACTGCTAACCCTAGCTGTGCCAACACTGGGTCCCCAAGAATTGACTGACATGCACTTACCCCTCAGCCTTATTGGCACTTACGCAGTAATGAGGTGGTTTAACTTGTCGAGACAGTAATCAGGACTCATTATTGCTGGTTCAAAGAAGTGAATCAAGTCATTGCAAGCTTAACCTGCTCTTTTCATTGCTGTTGGATGTCAGATAGGAAGCTAATTTGGCAGAATTTGTAAATTCTGGATGTGTTCCAGGAAACTTCACGGAAGTCATGACTGTGTTCAGTGATAAGAGATCCAGAGGGCTAGCCATGACACGTCTGAAATTCACTATTTACCCATTCTTTTTGCAAATCTCACAATTTAAACTCTATTCCAAGTTAAGTCAGAAATTCACAGAGTTGATCATGGAAAACCACCCGTCTTTTGAACCAACAGATAAGATTCCAAACCTCTTGGAGTAAGCCGACACACATAAGAAATTCAGAAGCTGAAATTCTGCAACTCCTCAGGTGTACTACTTTTTTTTTGTAGAATTTCAATCTTGCATTTGTGTCAACATTATTTACACACAAGTCAAAGTACTGGTGTTACAATTGGAGACAGGCGTGCCTCATCATTGCCACCTAGTGACAAAGCAAGTGAGGTATAACTCTAATCTGGGACCCGTGGGCACCAGATTGTCAGCCTGGAAATACAGGTTTAACAGTAAATACTAATTGGAATATCAAAATCATAGTTTAAGATGGGGCATATATTTGATTTGGCAAACTGTAATCATTTAATTTAGGCTGATTTATAGTATCAAAACACGAGCCATCATTAAGACAATTTTTGTTCTAAAACAAATGAGCAACAAGGATCCTTTTTATATATAGCATTCAAGAGACATTATAGATCAGTTATAACCTGTACTCGTTAGTATTGCATAATACTGATCCCCGTGCCCAGCCATTAGAAAATTGTGGAAATACTTGCCAAAAATTGCAGGGAAATTTGACAAATTGTGCAGGAAATTGCAGGGAGTGATTGGTGCTATTGAGGTACATTTTACTGCCAACCTACAATTTTTTACTTCACCTGATAAAAACCTAACATGAAGAAATAACACATATTAGGTTGTTGCAAAAAAAAATTGTGAATGCTTTCTTTAACAAACCTGGGTGGTCCACTCGGGCAGGGGGGAAGATACCAGTTTCCACCCCATATTACATTTGAAGACCTGGAGAACCGCCAAAAAACAGTATTGCTCGCCAAGCTCGCCAGTGCTCTGACTGCTACAGGAGGTCACCATCTCTTGCCTCTCAAAGCCCGTCACTACACACAGACAGAGACACAGAGAGACACAAAGACGAGAGAAACACGCACAAACACACACACACACTCTCACAGACACCGAAACACAGACTCAGACACAGAGAGACAGACACAGAGAGAACACATATAACAATAATCCTTGCATGTGATATGGCGCTTTTCACGTCTTCGAGACGTCTCAAAGCACTTCACAGAATATACTGTAAAGTGAATTGACTGTATATTCTTGGGTGAAACGTGGCAGCCAATTGCGCACAACAGTGGATTGAGTGACTAAATTATTATTGTTTTTTTGAAGCATTATTATCCCCAGAAAAGCGATCCGCCCATTGACTAACAACCAAGTTCCTACCTATTGCTTGGTAAATAGAGGCGTGTGGAGTAAGGAAACTTGCCTAAATGTTGTCCTGCCGGGAATGGAACCAAAGTCTCTCGCTTGCGAGACGAGTGCTCTAACCACTGAGTTACAGGACTCCAAATACACACTCATAGAGAGAGACATACACACACTCAAACGCACACTCACAGAGACACACTTACGAACACACACACAGACACATTCACACAGAGACACTCATAAACACACACACAGGAGGACACAGACACAGTCCCGGGGACAGTCACACAGAGGAGAGAGACACAGACCATCTCAACTGCTGAGCCTCGAGGTGAGTGAAGCACATTTCCCGCTAGTGCCACACATCCGCTCTCCCCACACTAGCGTTGAATAAACAGCCGGCAGCAGCGTGTAGAGGCCCTGAGCCAAGGAAACTCAATTTTGTACAGGTTTTTAGCGGAGGGTGTTGTTTATTGCAGATTCTGCAGAAAAATTGCAGTCACACATTTCTATTGGCCCAGCCCATGACTAATAGGTAAAGCACCACACTGTCCATTTCATATTGTCTGCAACAGTTTGGAGTTTATTTGCAGAATGCCTTCCTTGTGACATACAACAAAAATCTTCACACAGTCTAGGGACATTACAAATGACAGTAAATATTCCCTCAGATAACTTCCTCAGTCAACAGGAACAACTTTGATGCTACCAATTTAACAGACAGTGTCTGTACACTTTTGCACTAAGATATAATTGAAAAAGAGGAATATTAAAGGGTACGGGAAGCGAGCAGGAGAGTGAGATTATATTAGGTGGTTCTTGTGGAGAAAAAACATCAGCGCAGACTTGATGGGTGGAAATGACCCTTCTCTGTATTGTAACTTTCTAGAACAAACTTTGGAATTTTACTTAATACAGTAAAGGCTACAATAAGTTTCCTAATGCAATGCACGAGTACATCTTCATACCTGCATAACATCACATTTATGGACATCATTATATTGTAATATTACTGTCAGAAGTCAAATGCTGTATAATATACTGAACATTGCTCTGCTCTTATTTCTACTTGAATAAATGGGAAGTAAAGTACTCTCTCATTTTGTAGAAGATAATTAGAAGGAGGAAATGTTGAATGTGTGCATGACATTGTTTCAGCTGTAGTTGGAATATTGCATCCAGTTTTGAGAACCTATTTACAGAAAAGACATCACAGCTAGAGAGTGGATATTCACTAGAATGATACCTGGGATGAGAAGTTACGGTTATAATTATCCAAGCACTTTGAGAATCCTCCTGGCCTGAAAGGCGCTATATAAAAGCAAATTGTTTTGTATTGTATTTCGCGAGCCTTCAAAAGTTAGGTCTAGTTTCACCAGAGTGGAAAAGGTTAAGGTTAACATCTAACAGAAGTTTTCAAGTTCTGAATGGTTTGATAGGGTAAATAGAGAAAGGCTACTTTCACTTCAATCCAACCTGGAAGCCAGTCTGGAACTGTGCATGCAAGGTAGTTACTCTGGGCCACCATTCTATAGTTTACCTACAATAACAATGTTCTATGTTACACTCAGTTTTATTATTATTTCCAGATGGTTATCCCATTCTTTATTGTTTAGGTTCTATCTTTCTTGTGATTCAGGTGGACTTACCCTGCCTTTGCTAGTTCAAACAAATATAGGGTCACTCTCCCTGTTATCCTGTTTTAAAATCTCTCCTAATCCACATTTACCTCCAAATTTAAATAATTAGCTGCTCATCTCATTATTGTTAGTGGGACATTGGAGACGCCAGTTAGCTGCTGTGTTTCCCTATATAGCAATTTTCATTTCCTGACACATCAATTATATTTTGCAGAATGTTTCAGGCTGTTTATTTATACATGGAAGGCACATTATAAATGCAAGTTGTTATAATTATAGTGCGTTCTCCCAGGATCCTGTGGCTCCAGGCCAGGCTGAGACCGGGTCAAAGTTGGGTACCCTGCTAGTCTCTAATGTCCCTCGACCATTCTGTCTTGCGCCCTCTCTACCTCTCAAGTCCTGCCTCAAAACCTACATCTTCGACCATGTCTGTGATCACCTCCATCCCCCTCTCCCCCTGCTCGGCTTCTGCCTCGCCATTGCAAAGTGCTTCAAGATGTTATTCTATGTGAAGAACACTATATAAATACAAGTTGTTTTGCTAATATGTCACCACTGAAGTGAGCACAGGGGAGTTCTGGCTTCAGCATCTCATTACAGATACTAAAATCAATTTATTTCATAAAACCTGAAGAAATTCTAATACGGTTATTTTCTTGTACAAAACGGATAAGTAACTCTGAAACCCTCCCCCTTAGACTTTAGCTCTCATGTAACTGTATTTCAAGATGAACTGTCCATTTTAATAAAGCAATAATAAGGAAAGAGAACAATTGAAAAGCCACTTTTACACAATTTGTTTACTATTCAGTCTGCACCTGCATCACATTATGCAGCATCTCACATAATTGATAGATGCTACCTCCACTTTGTAAAACTTTGTCTTGCTCCCCCCTGCCCCACCCCACACTCTGAATTTACATTCATGTGAAATATTCAACAACGTCTGGGACGAAGCCCGACGTGACCAAGTGAAGCTTTAGAGAAAAAACACAGGTATACAAACAGATAGGGAAATGAGGAATGTTAAGACTAGACAACAATATATTTTTATTGGGGCCTGATTTGTGGTGTTTCTTAACACATTTCTTATTATTATTAGACCTCATTTATATTTCAACTTGTGGATCAGTTTACTACAGTTCTGAATATAGCACAGGCCTCCCTGCACTTCAGTCTTCTGAAACCGACTGGCTGAATTCCTGTGGATAGCACGTGCTACGCCTCCTGGTTTCAGCAAAATCCTATCAATACAGCCAGTTCGTTTACTGCATACGGTGTACACTTGCAGCTTGGTGACAACCCTGAAGTGCTAATAGGTGACTGAACTATAGCACGACCTGTTATAAGGCAGGTCTGATTTTATGAACTCAAACCATGGGTCACACTGTAGGAAATGCAAAATTATCACATTTTTAAATCATCAAATGTTCTGAAGAATGTATCTTTCAGCATACATGAGTTGGTCTTAGGCTTTATGACCACTGCTTTAAAATGCATTTGAAAACCAGCCTCAAAATTAAGACTGAATTTTAATAATTTCCCCAAATTTGGCACAATCTTCAATTTTAACAGACTAGTAAGACCATGAGTACATTCAGGCTTTTGATGTAGAAAATAGCACAAATTACTCCCTATTGTTTCTCTCTCAATGAACTTCAAGAACATTTCATAATTCTGCACCGTTACCCACCGTGATCAGGAACATCTTGCGAACTGGAACAAAAGTATTGTGAGTGTGGCCCAATTTACATGGGAGGAGTCGGTGGGGTAGGATGAAAAAGGGGAGTTGAGGAGTTCCCTGAAACTGTTCAACACAGACTGGATGGGCCGTTGTCCTGTTTCTGTGCTGTATCGTTCTATGAAGAGCTATGTTTCAGAATTATTGCTGTCCTTGGAATACATTTCAAGATGACACAAAATAGTACATAGTCAAGATACATTTTTAAAAAAGAAAATCAAGGCAAGCTCAAATGTGCGATTATAAACCAGTGACTGTAACCTAGAGATGCAATGACCACTTCAGAGTGAACTGAAGTAAGAGTGGACTAAACTGAAGAGGGAACAAGGGTGTTTCGTGGAATTGCATTTATGTTGTACAAAGCCCAGAAATACAAAGGTGTTGGTTACACTTCAAGTATATACAAGTGATGCAACTTTGGTGACTAAAAACTTACGGAAAGCCATTGCTGAATCAGCATTTCTACTTGTAATGAATGCAGTTACTGCAAAGTGTTGAACTACTGTAGTGTACGCTATGGTTGCATTGTGGTGAATCCTAACTCTAAAATACAACGTATGAACTATGGAATAATGAACCGAACATTCTGGCTTTCAGCCAACAATCTCCGAAGCTTCAGTGACCAATTTCGACCCATCCCATGTGGTCTTGAACTGTTCAGGAATGGGATACTCTTTCTGTAAAGATAAAGAATATGTGTCTGTAAGTAAATAATTTTCAACAATGGGGTGATTTATCACAGATGTCCTTAACAGTGATTCTGAGTCTCAAGCAGCAAGTCCTTCAGGTAATCAGAAATATGTCACACCGCCCAGCGGGAACTCCCAGAGTGAGCTCAAGCAGTGAGCATGCCATACTTGTGATTACCAAAGGAGTCGCTACTTGCAACTCAGATTTGCTGCCAACAACTCCTGTTAAGAATTGGCACAATTTGGTCCTCAGCATTGGTTTTGTGGAAATGCAAACATGCTAGACAATGAAGCAGAAAGTGCAGTTTGGAATGAAATGACAAGGCTTGGTAGTCATCCTGGTTTATCGTTTGTAACACATAGTGGGTTCTACAGTGAATATGTGAATGGTACAAGTTGCCCAATTGCTATATTTAGTACATCTAAACCCCATTAACAAGTGACAGTCTATTTTACTTTTGGTTCATTGGTTGCTACTCCTGTGTACATGTTGCTAGTATTAAATCTTTAGAGCAAGTGGGCAAAGCTAGATGGGAGAGTGTTCACTCCTAAACCAGTTTTTAAGGACAAAACAGCTTTTAAAGACATTTACAATCATGCCTGAGGAAATCTGAGGTAAGATTTTGCTTGATATTTAGCTGGAATTTGCAACTTCATTACTGGTCATTACATCGTCCCTGATGGCTGAGAACGGGACACATTGACTCAATGGCTGGGAAAGGAGCACATAGACGCCGGTGGCTGGTATAAGACACTCAGTGTACCAGCAGTCAGGGAAGTTTCCTGGGAAATCATTCTCTTTAAGAGCCAGTGGCGCCACTTTATTTACATCACAGCACTGTCAAGGGAGCAGGGTGTTGCCAGATTGCTGGCACTGTAACTTTACAACACATCTCACTTCTAATAGATGTGTGCAAAACTCATCAAATTAAAGCTGAACATTTCACATAATTCAAGCTTTTATTTGTACGCGTTAAAAAAACAATAAACTGTGACAAAACAGAAAATAAACTGTGACCGTTGACTCAGAAGGAGTCCTACCTACATTAAGTCATGCCCGAGTGTGAAAGCGAATGGCGTACAAAATGAAAAGCACAAGGTAACCCGAAACTTACGTAATCATCATCGTGAGGGATTAGGATGTTCACTTCAGAAGACTTGGCACTTACAATCTCACAATCTAAGGATTCTTCACTCAGGTATATGTGGCATCCCTCAGTCTTATTTACTGAAATAGTTGGCACTTTGTTCAATACCTGAAACATTACAGAATAGATTTTTTTGTTTAGAATCAATCTAAACTTTACCCAATATAAAAACAGAAATGTTGGGAGCATCAGAACAATTAGCAGCTGAAAGAGGTTAAAAACAAAAATTGTAGATCTGAGGTACTATCCTATATTGGGTCAAACCCAAAACGTTAAACCTATTTTGTGTGTTGCTTCACAAGTTAAATTATCTCCAGATTGTTTGTTCAGAAGTAAAAGAAAAATGAAACATCATGCTAAGTGAGCAGGAATTGTTTGTGCTATTTTTATATATATAAATGTATATACAACCTGTGCATAAAGCTGCTTATCACGTTGTCGAGACATCTCAAACATTTCACAGGATTTTACTGTGCAGTCTACAGTGACTGTGAATTTGTAGGCAAATGCAGCAGCTCAATGTCCCACACACAGCCATTTGTTTCATTTTGCCAAGATGTGACTTGAGCCCACAAGCTTCTTACCCAGAGGTGAGTGCTACCACTGAGCCAAGCTGGCACACGAGGATGTTGGCAGTTTATAGCCAAATTCTGCTTTGCTTACCGATAGTGATAGAGTTCATAAGTAATTATTCTCTGGGAAATACCTACAGACCTGCAGTGATCTAGTCAACCCAAGAGGCAGCATTAACTGGCATATTCCATTCAATGAGCAGAACGTTCAGAAACTCACTTATTCACTTGCTCTAATTTGTGTCAAGAGTGATGTTGTACCATCACTGTATGTTATTATTCGCAGTGAATTTTCATTTAACGTAAAGCGAATTTTAGTTCTGCCCAAACCTTACAATCAAGGTCATTTAGTACATTTTTCTATATCATATCAGAACAATTAAAAAGTAATTGTCACCTGAATTTGCACGTCCCTTGAATTGATGATTTCAACAATACCCACAACATTGTCAAATACTAGACTGAGCTTGTGACAGGAGTCTGCAACAGAGAACACACATTAATCCACTGGCTCCTGGGACACAAATCACGAGAAAACAAGGCAAACGATAGCACACCAGCTGCTTGTGCAGAGCAGAAAAAGCAGCCACTTCGGTTGGATGTGACATTCTGTAGCCAAGTTCCGCTTCACTTACCGATGGTGATGGAATTGATCTTGCCTTGGATTTGCAGCATGGAGCTGCTGCACTTGAAAACGTAGGCCACGTGCTTTAGCTCAGTTTCAGAAATCACAAGGTCGCCAACATTTTCCTGGTATTCCTGGCATCAAAGGAATAAAGTTTATTTGCAGACTGAATCAGTGCTGAAAAAGCATACACTTGGGTATCGGGTAATCTCCATTTTCTGTTTCTTGACTGTTGTGCTTTGTTTAGAATTCACTGCTTTCGACAGTACTATGTAGCTCTGAGCTCATGTACAGGGAAGCAATAGGGAGGAGGGGGCAAAGACACATATAGCTGCCTTGAGCTCCTGAACTGCAGGAATACATTATTTTGGAGTCTAACTTGCCCTGCTGGCTTTTTGCTCAGTGCTTGTAATGAGAAATGCAGTTATTCTTTTCTTCATAAAATGTGTAAAATGCACAATGCAATTCCAATCAAATTTGCTGCTTAAATTAACAAAAAGCTCTTCTGTGTACCACCCGAATACTGAGAAAGTTGCTGTTGTTGTAACCTTTAATTATCAGTCCTGGTCTAGTGCACCATGAGACAAACATACCTAAAGTCCCAATACTCATTCTGGTTGATCTAGAATATACGTCCTCCTGATGTGAAACGTAAAGATTATTATCATTATAAAATACAAAGTATCACATTTGAGACCCATGGCTTGTTAATGCAGATTTACCACTCTCCACTTCTTTCCCTCCAGCTTCAACATAGGTGTCCTGGGCTGTTGTGGTGAGTTGGGGGATGTAGGGCTTGATTTGTGACTCTTTGAAGGGGAGTTGACTGATCCGCTCTGTGAACGAAGATTTGGATTCTTGTGGGTCTTCTGAGCATCAGGAACATGGCGTAAAGCTGGGGAATGAAAAGGAAAACATCTCTGTAGTTACGAGAGAAGACAAGTTTGATTACCAATGCAGGAATTTGAAAGTTGTGACAGAAGACTGGAGGGTAGCTTATGTAACACCTCTATTTAAAAAGGGAGAACAGGATCAAACAAGTCATTGTAGTCCATTCAGTCAGTTTAATGGCCACAGTGAGCAAACCCTTAGAGGCTACAATATGAGATAATATTAAAAGCCAGTTGGAAAGTTGATTAAAGATAGTCAGCGTGGATTTGTTAAAAGGCCATTCTTGCCCGACAAATCTAATAAGAAATTATTTGACAAAATAACCGAGAAAATAAATGAAGGTATTGCTTGTGAATGTGGTATATATGGATTTTCAGAAAGGTTTTGATAAAGTGACGCAATAGAGGCTTGTTAAAAAAAGTAGGACGCGTGGTATTGATGGAAAGTTAGCACCATAGATAACCAACTTTTGTTGGTTAAAGGATAGGAAACAGAGGGTGGGAGTACAGAGCCGTCATTTGCAATGGAGAGATGTAAATAGTGGTGTCCTCCAGGGGTCAGTGTTAGAGTCACTGCTTTTCTCCATTTATATCAATGACCTGGACTCTGGTATAAGGGCCACAATTTCTAAGTTTGCGGATGACATTAAACTAGAGAGTATAGCTAATAATGAAGCAGATTGTAAGCAACTTCAGGGGGTCATAGACTAGTTGATTGGGCAGAGAAAAGGCAAATTAAATTTATTGTGAACAAATATGAGTTAATTCATTTTGGGAGGAAGAAAAACGAGAACACGTATAAGTTAGATGATAAAATATTAAAGGGAACGGAAGAACAGAGGAATCTGAGGGCGGTTAATGGACATAAATCCTTATGAAAGATGGGAAGGCAGGCTGACAAAGCGGCCAAAAAAGCTAATGGAATCCTAGGCTTCATAAATAAAGAGGAACTGGAACCACTGGAACCAAAAAAAGGTGAGGGGTGACCTGATAAGATGCCTTTAACATTTTGAGGGGTTTTGATAGAGTCAACAGGGAGATTTTTTTTCACTGGTCAATGAGTCAGTAACTAGAAAGCATTAATTTAAAGTTAGTAAACGAGCAAATGTGGAGATTAGGAGACATTTTTTCACAAACGGAGTAGTTAGGATATGGAATGCCCTACCGGGAACGGTGATTGAGGCAGAATCCATACTTGCCTTCAAGAAGAAACTAGATAAAAATCTTAAAAGTCAGCTACAGGGGTCTGGGGAAAGGGCAGGTAAATGGGATTGAAAGGATTGCCTTGAGGGAGCTGACACAGACACAATGGGGTGAATGGCCTTCTTCTGTGCCGTAAACTTCTATAGTTCTGTGGCTCTAGGAGTGTGAATAGAATACTGTGACAAGAAACTTTTGGATAAAGAAGGCCCTTCGGGCCATTTAATCTCATCCTTCCAGACCACCTACTTTAATGTCTCCCTTTTACAGCATTAAAAGGGCGAAATGTTGGGCAAGTTTCCTTACTCCACATGCTTTTGTTTACCGAGCAGTAAGTAGGAACTCGGTTGTTAATCGATTGGCGGATCGCTTTCCCAAGGGTAATAATTGTTTTAAAAAAATAGTAATAATGAATTGGTCACTTCAATCCAAAACTGTTTGTGTGCAATTGGCTGCCGTGTTTCGCCCACAAAATATACAGTCAATTCACTTTACAGTATATTCTGTGAAGCGCTTTGAGACGTTCGAAGATGTGATAAAGCACTATATCAAATGCAAGGATTATTATTATTAAATGGTTTCCAGTGAGCTGGGCCCATTCTTGGTAAACCATTCCAGCTTTTTACCCTATGTTACCCTACTTCCTGGTGTTTATCTTAAACTTGTGGGAACCTTTGACCCTTCAAGAATATTAAGGTCTCGCTGGTGCCGAGCAGACCAGACTGCAACAATTTTAAGACTCAGTCAAATGAATTGCAATTTCTAATCTGCAAATCACACTGCTGAGAATTTCAGTGGCAGTTCCCTATTTCAGAAGTGGCAAAACAACTGCTTTCACTTATATAGCGCCTTTCATGCAGGGTAGCACTGAATAATGGGGCTATCTGCCAACGAGCCGGGGAGAAAGCGGAAGTGATGACAGGCACAGTTGAAGAGGAAAGACTTCAGGTGCGATCAGAAAATGGGCACAGTGGCTGATGGCACCAATACTAAGATGTAAGCTGCTGTTCAGATGGCTGAATCACTTTAGTTTTGTATAACAGATGTAGTACGCAAGGAAACGACAAAGGACAGAGTGAGCATTACAACTGTTGTGCAAAGAAAGGAGGAGGCAATAAAACATGTGAGATTTTGTTAGAAGTACAACACAATCGACATTTGATTTGAGCGAATAGCACTGAACTTCTAAACATATCTGAACCAAAGGTTTTGTTAGTTACAGAGGCTAGACTATTGTGGAATGGAAGGTAACTTGGTTACTCAGTAATACCAGTGTGGCAATTTCATTAGAGCTCTGAGTGAATTGGTCAACTCTGACCACCCTGACTTAAATAAAAACCTCAGACGCCTCTAGGGGGTGCACTTGTCTAACATTTCCATTCCAGACCAAAGGGAATGTGCCAAAGCTTTCAAGGGCGACGACAGCCATGATTTCAGCGCTGCCTGTGCTGCAGTGTTACTCTCACTGAATTAGCAAAAGTCTCCGCTCCAAAGAGATACTTTCTGAGAAGTACCACGGAATATTTAGTGTCTGCCTGGACAAGCAGATGGCAACTCGGTTTAAAGTTCTATCTGAAGGACAGCACCTCCGATAACGCAGCGCAGCTTCAACATTGCAATGGAGAGTCAGCCTGGACTATATGAGTCCCAAGTCCTTAATTGGGGCTTGAACCCACAACCTTCTGATTCAGAAGCAACATTCCCCCAACTGAGCCAGGCTGACACAAAGCACATAATGTAAATGTTAGGTCATACACACGACACTATTAGCAATCTATTCCAACAGTGCAATGTCAGCGGGTTGAATGGCTTTCTCCTAAGATATAGTTTCTTTGAAGCTGAACCACCGGCTAGTTTTGCCACAGGTTTATTGACTGGAATGTTCTGGCAGGCCAGAGCACCCTGGTGATTGATATTAATTTCATTTGGTAGTGTGATGTAGAAGGAACACAGGCTGAGAATGTCAGATACAGACTGGCATTACATTACCCACTCTCTAGTACGTGGCTTCCTAACCCAAAGAGCACATGGCAGCCTGCCCTCAGACCTTTTGTAATTCATGTACCTCACAGCTGTGGGTCATGGTCGCACGCCAACAATCTGGTGTTTTTGATTAAAACACACAGTCACTGCACCTAATAGTAATTACTGTGAAGTATGTTGAGACTTTTTAATGTTACAAGCACTATATCAAATGCAAGGATGATTATTCTTATTTTTGATGACCGTGTGGCTATTGGCCTGATACAGATCTTGTAAAGAAACGTTTAGGGTTGGTGATCAACTGGTAATCAATCCACCTCCATAGTTTACTAACTCTGATTTCTAATAGCGTAGTTGCTAAACGATAAGAGGTCGAACATTCTCCTGGGAGTGCACTGGTTGGGCATCTGGGCTCTTTTTCCACACCTTAATGTCTGAGAAGTGGGAAGGGTCAGCATTAAGTCAGCATTTCAGAGCGATCACAATTTGGCAAATTGTTGAATTCAGCCTTAACTTTGAAGTTGTCTTTCATAGGAACATAGGAATTAGGAGCAGGTGTAGGCCATTCGGCCCCTCGAGCCTGCCCCGCCATTCAATAAGATCATGGCTGATCTTCTAACCTAACACCATCTGCCTGCCTTATCCCCATATCCCTTAATCCCTCTATCCTTTCGAAATCTATCAATCTCAGTCTTGAATATCTACAGCCTTCTGAGGTAGAGAATTCCATAAATTCACTACCCTCTGAGTGAAGAAGTGTTTCCTCAATTCTGTTCGAAAGGGCTGTCCCTTAATCTTAAAACTGTGACCCCTGGTTACAGATTCTCCGACCAGGGGAAAGAGTCTTGCACTGTCTACTCTGTCAAGCCCCATAAGAATCGTATATGCTTCTATAAGCATCTATAAGCTTCTGTGGAGTCCTGTAGCTCAGTGGTTAGAGCACTCGCTTTGCAAGCAAGAGACCTGAGTTCAATTCCAGGCGAAACCTTGGGCAAGTTTCCTTACTCCACACAGAGCCTAATAATAATCCCTCCAAAACAAAAACAATAATAAATTGGTCATTTTCAATCTACGACTGTTTGTGGGACATTGCTGTGCGCAATTGGCTGCCGCGTTCGCCCACAAATATACAGTCAATTCACTTTACAGTGTGTTCTGTGAAGCGCTTTGGGACGTCCTCCTGACGTGAAAAGCGCTATATCAAATGCAGGGATTACTATTATTATTATAAGATCACCCCTAATTCTTCTATATTCTAGAGAATATAGGCCTTTCTGTAGTTTCTTAAAAGAAACTTATGGAAAAATAGCTTCAAAGTTAAGACAATGTTTTTAATATTTGCCAGAATATTAAGAAAATAGAGTAACTCTGCCAAGTGGAATTTTTATATACCTAAAAATAATAACATCTAAACTTGGTATTTTAATTAAAATTACTCCTAACACTCATTTGGCAAAATTGTACGCAATCAAGTCAATAATCTGAGGAAATGAGATGAAAAAAGGAAAAAAGTGAATGTTTGTGGTATTACTGTTTTGCTCACCTCTTGTGATCCCTTCCCCCTGGTTAAGATCAGCAAACAGCTGGGAACGTGCTACAGATGTTTCATCCTGCGGTGGGTCGTCCGCAAACGCTGGAGGGGGTCCTGGTGGAGGGGGAGGAGGTGGGCAAGAGCCACCCAACGGTGGTGCCCCTGGGGACAAAGCCGAGGCATCGGGACCCTGGAATCACAGGAAGGACATTCGACTTATTATGTGTGACGGAGCTCAGCACTGAGTGAGGAAATCTCACCTTTTCTAATGATCCAAAGCTGCTGTATTAGCACCTTCCCTTCGACCTCCTGCTGTTTGCACAACAATATGTTTTATTCAAGTCCACAGTAAAATGAGACTCCCAACGATAATAAAACTGTGTAAAGCAGGGAATAGAGACTTTTGCTCTTTTAACTGAAGGAGCTTATTAGATGAACAGCGTCTCTGAGGGTGGGGGAGGGAGAAAAAAAAAATACATTTTCTATTAACTACATTTTAAAATGTCTTCCATTTCAATGCAAAGCACTCACAATTTGAGTTATTCTGATCGAAATTCAAGTGTATTTTGGTTTGAATTACTGTCGCTACCACAGCATATGTAGGGCACTGGGTTCCTGTACAGCAGAGGTGCAGACTGTGCTTTGAAAACATATGTGTCCAACATAACGTAATTTTATCTTTTTACTATTCTAACCCTGCTTGCGAAAGCCTTACTGAAAGGGGCAGTCCTAGCTGGTCGGTCTAAGTACCGTGTCAGTGTTGCCCAGTTACCATTTCGCGTTAAGTTCCTGCAATGGTGACCTTTACAGTTGAATCTCTCTTCCTCTTCCACTTACTATTCTGTATCCACAATATCTTCTCGTTTGGAAACAAACCACAAGTCACATCTTTTCCCTGTGAGTGGCAGCAGAGGATTCATAGTTGCTCCTTGTGTCACACCTCTAGGTTTCCAATGTTCCATGGACACCCACACTCCCATCTCCAAGTTGTGATAACGGGGAGCTTTCTTTTTTGGTCAGCCGGGTGTCTGACACATGTGGAAATCCATCGTCATGCTTAAGAGTATCCAAACCAAGCTGAGAATTCCATGCATCCCACCTACAGATGGAGTTCCCAGAGATAGATTGTTGGAATGCTCACTCTCTCCTTGGAGGGACACATCCTGCTTACCTAATTCCAGCAAATATTAGACGCAGGTTGGCAAGAGTCAGGGCTTGGAGACCCCAGAGTGTGCATTGGGGTAACTACTGGAGTCTAACCACCTAAAACCGCATAGCTTACCATTGATATTGGTATCTGGCAAGCTTTCCCATTGCTTGTTCAGCTAGGACCATACTCCCTGTTAAGGCTTTGGCTTGCAGGGTTAACAGGAGCTGCGTGGGATGATTCCTCGCTGCCAGTGACTGGTCTGCCCTTTCAGGTCCTGCCAGGCTGGCTGTGCTGTCATCAGCAGTGCCCTAGAATACTGCGGCTCAGACCCACGTGGCTCAGGAAACGGACTACCGAGACCACCATAGAGGGTTGGCTCGATTCTAATATTCCATTACGAAACATGTCTCCTTAGAGCCAGTTCAGCTCCAATGAGACCCTGCATACCTCTGCCCCAAGGAGGATAATCTTGGGAAGCTTTCGATATGATTCTGGTCACCCGAAAAATCACATTTGTCAGCCATCTGACCCCATCCACACCTCTCTCTTGTGGGCAGTTTCTGTCAGCTGGTATAAGGCTGGACATCGTCTTCGCTATCCCACAAACTCCCTTGCTCATCGTGGCTCTGCTAAACCATTAAAGTCTCCGGCTCTGTTCTTGGTGGCTGGCAGCCAAGATTTCCAAACATTTTTATACGCATCCATAGGGTATGAGTGGGAGTTATTCCCTGGAACTCTCCTGATTCTACAGTGCAGTTAGGCAGAGAACAGCTCACTTCAATTTCACTAATTAAGGGTCGTTTCCTATCAAAAGCTGATAGAGATGGAAAGTGAGGACCAGATACGACAGACGTCAAGCTAGGAAGCGAGGTAGGTTTATTGGGTGTCTTTCTCCTGCTAATTCTTGTTTGATATTCCCCTCCTAATCCAAATCTGTCTCCGAATTCAAGTTAATTGGCTACTCACCTCCAATTTGTATTCTGGACTTTTGCCTATGCAGTATAATAACATCCACTTTTGTTTCTAATACATTACATTTTGCAAATCAATCGCGTCAAGATATTTATTTTATGTGAAGGTGCTATACAAATGCAAATGATTAATCAGATAATCTTTTAGATTTGATAATCTTTGGTGTTTGTACTACTTGACTTATGTCAGGGTTGACAGCATTCTGTGACAGGGTGTATTGTATATAGGAAGACACCATCTCTGAAGCTGCTACTTAACAGTTATGTGAAGCTTTAGTAATCATTTCATCATTTACGTGAAAGATGCTTCACCAAATCCAAGGATTACAATCATTATTAAAAATGTCAGCTATTGTTTTGTGAAGCTGTATGTGTGACTGTGTACGTGTGTGTGAATGTGTATGTGTCTGAGAGTGTGTATGTATGGGGCATGGTATTCAAGTGTATGTTGCTATGGCTACACCTGCTGCTTGGCAAAGAAGAACTCAAATTTTTATGATTGATCCATCTCACAGTGCTTTACAATAATTGGTTAGATGTAGTGTCTGTTTTCATAAGCAAACACAGCAGACATTTTGTGCAAAAGAAGACTCCACAAGAACAGCCATGAATAAGGAATGCCTAATTCACTTGGAAGAGTGTTGGCCAGGACACCAGCACACACTCCCTTCTTCTTTCTAATACTGTCATGGGATCTTGAAGAACAGGCAGAATAGACCTTGGATTAATGTCTCATCTGAATGATGGCACCTCAGACAATACAGTGCCCCTCCAGCATTGCACTGGGGTGTCAGGCTTGGTTGTGAGCTGCTGAGGCCACAACTTTGTGACCCAAAAGCGAGAGTGCTACCAACTGAGCCAGTCCGACACCTAACTTCATGCACTTGGAATAAACCCAACATTTCACTCCTCTTGATATAAAGAGTCATCATTGGCAAGTAATAGAGGATAATTATTTGTATAAAAATAACTTTGAAAGCCTTTTTCTCTCCACCCTCACCCCACCCCACTAGTCCTTCTCGATAAAGCAAACATTTCCAACATTTGTCCACAAAGACGAGACTCCAGAATTAAAGAAACTCATTCAAACGCATGCCCGCTGGTTGTCAGACGTGATAACTGTCTGTCAATCAACAGCGAGAGCCATTCAGCCATGTGGTAGAATTACTATAGGCAGCAGCCATTACGCTGTCTCTCACTGACTAACTAAGAGCCCCTCATGCATAGAAATAGCAGCTTATTCCTGGGCCTTGCTAACAATTGCATGCCCTGACAGAAAGAATAGTTAGGGTTATCAGGCGACTGTGGCCCCGTCATCTGCAAAACCCATAGCTTTACTGGATTACTTCAGCTGTTTGTGTCTGCAGCAGCTGTTGTCGGGGCTCAGCAGACAGATCTGTGCGCCGACTATAGCCGTCACTTCATTTGTCATTGAGAGGAGTTTTGGAGAGACTGGGGGAAGGGGGAGCTCCAGGGGAAAGGATTGTAGCAGACGCCACCACGCACAGAAGTCCTGTAAGTCAGAGTTGAGGAATTCTGGCCAGCCTCCTGCAATCAGCCACGTGGCCTGTTTTAATTAAAGAAAGTGTTTCTTAACACATTCGTCACAACAACAACAACTTGCACTATAACGCCCTCCGAGCAGGGTAGAGTCTCAGAGTGCTTAAAGGGCAAAGAGAAAAGAGGCCGTTGGAGAGACCTTGTGATTTCTCAGTGCCTTATCACGTCAAAAATCTCAAAATGCTTCACAAATAATTGTTACCAAGAGAGGAGACTATGTTTTTTTGTAGGCAAACGTGGTGGCTGGCACAAGATGCTGCAAACAGCGAAAGGGTGAATAACCAATTCATAACAATAATAATAATCCTTGCATTTGATGTGGCGCCTTATCGCGTCTTCGAGACGTCTCAAAGTGCTTACAACCGGTTTCCTACTTATGGCTAGGTAAACAGAGGCGTGTGGAGTAAGGAAACGTGCCCTTAAGGAAACGTGCTATGTCATTACCAGTGGTAAAGTACTTCAAAGTGGGTATCCAAGCACGTTTGTTTCATTCTCTGCTTAGATTTATATTTTTCCTCATCTCTCTCTCCACATCCCCAATACGTCTTTACTCCACTGTGCTTTCCCTTTTGTCTCGAGTATGCCAATTTCACAGGCATGATCCAAACAAGGAAAATTATTTTATTCTCCTCTTCCCTCCCAACCCCCACCACCAGAAGCAAGACCACTGGAGTGACATGCCGCTCTCGAGAAGTTGGTTCAATTCTGAGTCTCAGTTATACAGAGAACTAGCTGCATAACCATAGGTCTGAATGATTAACAACACGATTTAGGCAGCATACACTGGGTGCTCCCGTCATGTCTCAATCAGACCCGCACAAAACTGCAATCAATTTCAAAGCAGTGTGATACATTACCAGGATACAGCTCCTCATGTCAACTCCATCCACTGTTTTTTTTTAACTTGGAGATTACTGAGTCAAGTTAACATGGCGTGGGGTGGAAGAGGAATTCTACAAGTGGGTAAAGTGGTTTACTGACCTTGTCGTAGTATGCATATTAATTAGGGCGACTCCTTATAATTGCACAAAGCCAGAGTCGGTAACTTTACCAACTGGGGTGGAATTTCACCCTGTAGCTTTTTTGAAAAGAAAGCAGTTCTGCTGGAGGTGGGTGTCTGTTCAATATAACAGCTCACTCAGCTTCAGCGGGGTGTTTGAAATCAGACATGTTTATTTGCACCGCAGTGCACACCAGAGTGGGGTCACGACTTTACTGCTCGTGTCCATTCTCACTGAGCAACCGCACCAAGGAATCAAAGCTAACACTGTGGAGTCATCTCTAGCTGAGCAGAGGAACAGGTCACAGAGAGCACATGCGTGTAGTGCAACACACATGATAGTGTATGTGCATTCAGCACTCAATGCCATCAACTGGGCTATTTAAAAGGGAGAAGAATAGACACTTGTAAAATAAAAGTCACAGGGAATATGGAGGAAAGGTGGGCAAATGGGATTAAAAGACTTACCATGAACTAACAAAAAGATGGAACAGGCTTAATAATAATAA